AGATAAGTTAATTACGTTTGAACGTCACAAAGTCAAACTTAACTTTTAAGTGTTTAACTTAACTCACATTCACATTTTATTTATAGCATTTATTTCTCTCTCTTCTAAAGGAATGCATATATCCTGAATAAGCGTGTAAACATGATTGTTTTTAATTTAATCGATTTGATAACAGCCAGTGGTTTGCATCTCGAATTCATATGATTACTTTTTATATCTCTTAACTCTTGAATGCTTGAGCAAATATTCCCTTGCTCTTGAGCAGCAGTGTGGTTAATGATATCCTTTGTGAGAAGCAAAATACAAACTATCAGCTATAACAAAGCTGTATATTCCGTATGAATAAAATAAATTATAAGACAAGACTCAATTCAGAAACAAATAATTAAAAGGGGTTGGTGTTCAATTCTCAGCAACTTGTAAGTATCTGGTTCTGGTTCCTTTCAAAAGCTTTTTATCATGTATATCATACATTTTCATTGGATTTTGAAACCAAAATGGAAATAAATTCTCACTAGGTCAAGTGTTGACAACAGATGTCACACCCACCCTTTGTGAAATAAATTCTCATTAAACAGTGTACCTAGATTACAGGATCAGGTTATGTATAGGCAGGGATGGGTTGCATACTAAACTTGATTTGAAACCAGTTATTTTTATTATTGTCAACTTTACAACTCATGCTTTATTTACACATGGTACTTCCAATTATAATTTGAAGGAATGAAGATTTTTGAAATCTTATTGTCTCTTGTATTTAATTTGCTTTTGAAAAAAAAAAAAGGCACCATTAAATAGGTTAAGTCTATGCAACAAACAGACCAAACCAAAAAATTAATGGTCTGCAGCTGATTCTGATTCACTTTGGCTCGTAAATCAGCATACTAACCCATTTAACAAAAATCATTTATAAAATATTAAAATACTTAAAAATACATAAATAAATATAAGATTACTGAATATGTATTTTCAAAACAATAAAAATTATTCATATTATTACATGGTGTTAATTAATATCCTTAAAACATCATTACTATGTTTTTCAGTATACACAGTTGTTCCTATTTGAGGTGGCTCATACTCCACTGAATATAAACTTGAGATGAGTTGAGTGCAGATTTGGGAAATAATCTCATGCCCAAATGGGTAAAAACAATTGATAAAATATAATAATAAAAAAGGTTTAAATAAATAATTAGTTGGTAGTTACATAGAGGGAGGCGTATGGGGATAAACTGAACGTGACAAATGACATAATAGGTGGAGATTGACCGAACCAAACCACAATAATCGTAGAGAGAGATGATAGCGTGGAACAGAGTCACATGGAGATGAAAACGAAAGATTTAGGTGCAAGTAACGTGCGACCTTTCTTATTTTACCCAAACCTTCCAGAACATATCTATCTTCGCACGTGCCTCTTCCTTTGCCTTTCTGCCTTACATCACCAAATTGTATACTCGGTGGATCTCTTTTGGCCTAAACTTACTTACACAATTCAAAATCAATATAAATCAATGCCTTTTTTTATAAGTTATAAATAATAAATTTTCATATACATTAAAATTACTTTGTCAATATAAACAAATGAACCTTAATTTGAAAGAGGTGTTTGCTGTGGTGCAGTTTCTAAATTAAATATCATAAATAAATTAGAAGTACATTAATATAAATCAGTGGGAGTTAATTTTTATTAGTTATCTTTAAAAAATAATATTAAATATTTTGAATTAAATTATAATTAAAAAAGCAAGAAAGAATTGATGAGAAAGACAAATGGGTGGGTGTCGTAGCTGATGTCACCAACATCTACCTACCAAAACCGCTCAATGTTCGGTTTCCTCTTCTGTTCCTGTCTTGTGCTGTAGGCCCCACTCCCCACCAAACATCTTCTTATCTATATTGTCTCTACAGTCACGCGCCATTTTCAATGATTTTTCATTTTACTCCATATATTTTCTTTATTGGTTTATCCATTTTTTTCTTTAATTTAAAATTTCCATATCCTCCTTTAAATTTTTTTTTTAGTTAAATCTAGATCTGAGTCACACGATGAAAAAGTCTATCATTAAAAGTTTTTTTATACATAAAAACTAATTTTATTCACTTTTTAATATTTAATATTTATTTTTAATTTTTTCTTTTCAGCGTATATACATTTATGTACCAAAAAAGTGTATATACATATGATTAGATGTGATATTTTAATGTTTTTTTCTTTTCTGCGGAAGCACGTGCCGTGGGCCACGTCCCTTGCAACTAGCATAGTAGGGGTGTAGGGCATTTGAATATCTTCCCAAAACTTGAATGAAATACAATACGTACATACATTAATTGATATTTCGTGATATCATTAAATAAAATATCTTTTCTCATTATTAACAAATAGCCGCGGCCTAGTCTAACAATAGTTTTATTTTTCATAAAAATAATCTTAAAAGTCTAACCTTGTTTCCACGATAAGTGCGATACACCAATCATCTTTAATTTATCATATAAACTCCTTTTGTCATTATACTTTGTTTAGTAATTTACCTTTAAATAAAAAACCATAAAATAATTTTTATTCGAGTCTCTTTGTTTTCGTTTCATTACCTCACCTCCTTGGACATGTTATTCTTAAGTTTTTGAATGATCAAATTCGGATTTAATTTAATCATTTCATTTCTAGAAGGAGGGAAAGCTTCAAAACCTAATTTTTTTAAAAAAATATTTTTCTCGATGAGCATCTCTTAAAGCTTGGGCAATTCGTTACTAAGGGCTTCAACTTTGATTTTGTTTCAGTTAAGAATTCCTACATTGACCAAAGTTTTAAATTGAGCAATTTTCAAGTTCCGTCGTAAAAACATTACAATATATTAGATTGGCCTTTTTCCAAGTTGAGGTACAGAAAATTCCTTCTGTTACGGAAAAATGAAATCGCAGCTCAAATTTGATCATTTACTTACTTACATGTATACGAGTCATCAATATAAAGAATTTAGAACAAGAAAAATTACGTAAGAAAAAAGCTCAAGGAATTAGAATGTAGAGTTCCTAGTGAGTCCCAAGTTTGGTGCGAAATTTAAAACTTCCTCAGTATCAGTTACAAAAGCTGAAGTGTATGTCATTAATCTGTTTGAGAAAATTTACATTTGTGCAATCCAAATTTGGTATTTGTATACCTAACTCTTATCCCATTCACATATGTTTTGTGATCTCAAAGAATAAAAAGCACAGTATTTTGTAGCTTGGAAGGCTTTTAGTGTATTTTCTTTTCTTTGAATCAACTTATACTAGCATACATTATTTTAATTTTATAACATTTAATATTTTTTTAATCGATAATTATATCTCAAAATTTATTATTAAATATTCTTATATAAATCATATTTATAAATACTTTTAAATATAATTATTTAACTTTAACAAAAGTTGACAAAAACAATCAACATAATATATAGTTAAATGTAATAATTTATATATTAATCTTAACTATTAATGATTAAATATAATAATTAAAATTTATTCAGATAAATTCCCCTATACTGTGGGCTCGCATTTGGTACATTAAAGTTTAAACATAATAAGATGACTACTTATTTAAGAAAAACAACAATGAAGGTTTTACAAAAAAAAATAAAAATGAAATTACATTTAAATCTCAAGAAATAGGAAATTTATAGTGTTTTTTTTTATTTATCTTAATTATATCTAATAAACTTTTTGTTTCAAAAGCTGTATTTACTTCGTTTTAAGGCTAGTGCAATTTTAACCTCCTCTTCAAAAGCGGTAAATGTAATTTTTCCAGAAAGACATTATAATCAAAACCGTTGTTAAAATGATTGGATAGTTACTTAGACGATGTCATAAGTGAAACACATGCTTCAACATTTGCTAAAGAAACTTAACATCATGAAAGAAAATGAAGTGATAATTCAATATGCATATTTTCTCTAAATCAAAAAAATAAAATCATAATTTCAAAGGCCAAGGCAAACGTGTGAATATCCTTAAAATATTTAAACCTAGTAAGATTAGTAAATCAGCTGATAAAAATTCTAACAAATGCCGAGATCTTACTTTGTGAAGAGGGAAATGTAAAATTAATAATTGGTGGCATCAACCTATTTCAATTTCAAAATAATGCTATATATTATTAATTTACAGTACGTAAATACAAAAGTATACATTGCGTACACCAAGAAAGGGCATAGAGGTGCTGGCCAGCTACTCATTTAAATAGTCAAGTATTGGCCTTTAGCAAATCACCTTTGTAGTATATATCAAATTATCAATCAATGTGAAAGAAACTTTGTCAAGTATAGTCCAGTTTTCCCATAATTGTCTTGTTCTGGTGACAGTAAAGGGTAGGTATGCATTCAAAAGCTGTCTCCTACCTAAACGCTGCAAATCTGAGATGAATTGGGTTGAGCTTCGCTCTTTGCTTGACCAGTGACCACTGTCTCTGGCACTGCTCAGTGTTAAGCGTATCTCAAACTTACTGTAACTTACCAAACATAGTTATTGTCTAACAACTCATTACTGACCCACCAGTAGTCCACCATGCCAGGAATATTCAAATTTTACCCAATAACTGGCTACAAGTTTATTAAGTGCCTCTTTCTCAACACAGATATATAAATCACGTGTACGAAAATATAATTATATATCAAAATTACCCAAGTAAATTGAAGAAATCATTCATCATATTTGCCCATTAGAATATACTATACGCTGTTTTGATGATATCAAGGGAATTTAAGTATTTGAATGTAATAATTATATTTAGCCCAGTTAGTTTATATTCATCATAGTACTACATAGCATTAGAGAAGGAGCAATAATCTTTCTTATATTAAACATTATCGGAGTGTGAGCAAAGTAAACCACAGTACCCAAGTTTTATTCATTACGCGGTAGTCTCACACGCGTGTTCAACAAATAAATTAAAAGCTAAAGTAAGGATTTTATTTATTTAAAGTTTAAAAATTAAGTTTAATTAATGATATACATAAAAGATTCAAACTATAAAATGAAATTAAGTTTTTAAATATTTGAAACAAAAAATATCTGGAACTTTCTCAAAATTTTGTGATTCTACAACTATTTCCATGTTAACAAAAAACAGTCATAATAATATTACATTTAAGCTCTAAATATTCATGGGTCTGTAAAATCTATACAGATTATTATCGGAGGCAGTTGTAGTAGCAGTACCCATGGCTTTGCAGCAACAAGCTTGGTTGCTTTGAAACCCTAGATTGTAACAAAGGCACACACCTTGGCTGGTAACGTTCCCATACCACTGGTACAAAACATGTGGTTTTTGATCATGCTCTTGTGGTTGTTGTTTCAACTTCTCTGAAGAAACTTGGGGTTGAGAGGGAAGCCCAATGGAAAGGTCCAAGTTGAGTTGGCGGTGAGAATAAGCTTCTTCTGTGGTGACGCCACTGCTGCTATTAGAATCTTCACCAACCAACTCGGTTCCAATCTTTGTGTTGGCATAAGCGCTAGTCACTAACTGAAAACCGCTATTATTGTTAATATTATTATGGTTGTTGTTGCTGCTGCTAATGCTATCGTTGTTTATTTTCTTGTTGCTTGTGGTGACCACAGGATTTGTAGTATTAGTAGGTGGAACTGTGGTCCCGGTGGCCGTGATCGCCGGAGTGGCTGCGGCGTTGAGTGGTCGATGGGTTTGTGGGTCGATTCCACGGCTATAGAGTTTTCTCTTGATGTGAGTGTTCCAGTAGTTCTTGATTTCATTATCGGTTCTTCCCGGTAATCTTGCAGCTATTAGAGACCATCTGAGAAAGAATCATAAACCCATTTCAGATTTTTTCTTTCGGAGGGAAAAATTAATAGAATCGGAAAACTATGAAGAAAAACAAAGTACCGCATATATAAATTAATTAAGTTGGTGACACTTGAAATAAACAACAATCATGTAAAATAAATAATTTTTTATGATGTGACACTTGATATATATCTCTTAGAGATGTGAAAGGAGGGGGATGAGGGTGTGATGTTCGTACTTGTTTCCCAGTAAGCTGTGGAGATTAATGATGAGCTCATCTTCTTCTTCAGTGAAGTTGCCTCTCTTAAGATCAGGTCTTAAATAATTTATCCACCTGAGTCTGCAACTCTTACCACATCTAAGCAACCCTGAAATGTTAATATTAATTTAAAACACTATATGAGAAATGGGCTTAGTGTAGGAAGCTTATAGGTAAATTAATTAATTATTTAATTAATAATTAATTAATTTGTTGTAGGTAGAAGCTAGAATATTAAGATGAAAAAACTTACCAGCAGCTTTTGGAAGGGATCTCCAACAACCTTCTCCATGAACCTTGATGTAGTTGATGAGACGTTCATCCTCTTCTTTGGTCCAAGCCCCTTTGTTTGTGTGTTCTTTCTCACAACAAGGAGATCTACCCATGTTGTGGTTGCTCAGAGAGAGAGAGAGCAAAAAGATGTGTCTTGTGTGGGAAATGGAACCTGGAAAGTAATAGGTGAGAAAAGGGGGGTAGAAGGAATATAAATGGGAGGTGGTGGAGAGGAAGAGGGGGTGCAATTGACTCGGGGACCTTCTTTTTCTGAGAAGTAATGCAAGAGAGAGTATTTGACCGAGTTGGTGAGAAAGACGAGTGGTTACAATTAAGTTAGTGCTGGATTTGGTAGGTAGCTCTACTTTTCATGTTCCTTAAACCTCCTTTTTGCTATTCCCTCCTCTTCATTCTTTTTTATTTATTTGCTTCTCTTGTCCTCTTCCTTCTTTTATTCATACTTTCACCTGTTTATTTATTTTTGTTCATTTCTTCTTCCTCATATGGAGTCAAAAACAGGTTCCATTTTCATATTATATTCCTCTCTTTTCTTTTTTCCTTCCCCCACAAATTAAATGCTGCACTTCCTCACCCTGTCAAACAATTTTAAATTTAAGAAACGTTCCTTGTATTTTATTTTTATACAATATTTTGTAAATATCAAAGAAAAGAAAATATGTATAATTAAATGGATGACGTAATAAAGACATTACATGAATAAAATAATTCTTCAGATTTTTATATGCAATGAAATTCATTATAAATGACTTGAAATGAGACAGGAGTTGATTATTTTTTAACAAAATTTGGCACGGTTGACAAATAATTAAATTTCTTAACTATATTGATAAAAATTTAATTTTTTACCGTGTATCAAAAATTATTTTATTACAAAATTTACAATTTATTTTAATAATTTTTATTCCTTAAAGAAAATAATTTCTAGCCATGTATGTATGTATCTTCAGAGATTGTTATGTTTTAAAAAGAATAATAATCTCCGTGTCTCCCATTTGCATGTAAACGAAGTTGACTATTGTAGGTACCAAATAGAGGTTAATTATAATGCACTTTCACTTGAGGATTGATGGTAAAATTAACATTGCCATATTACAAGTAGACTTTCTCAAAGCAATTTTTGAGAAATAGTACCATTTTTTTCTTTATATATATATAAACATTTGAATATTTAAGCATTCTTTAAAACTAAATGAATTATATATTAATTTGTTTGATTAAGTTTACTCGTATCAATTAATAGATTTCTTTGTGGTATATTATATATTTTAAATTAAATTAGTGGAAGCAATATTTTTATGTTTTAATAATTATCATATCTATATTTATATTCTATAAGAAGATACGATGAATTGTCTTGTGACGTAACCAAGATCACTATTAATAATCAACTATCATGGTTATTATGAGTAAAAACATTGATAAACCATTTCAATTATATAAAAAAGTACGCATAATCAATTCATGTAAAAATATCGACATGTATTGAAATAAAAAAAAATGTCTATGAATAGTTTTCCAACAGATATACTTAATTAAATATGAAAATAAAATTTAAGATTATAAACATTGATAACTTTTACTTAATTAAACTTATTAAATTTATATAACGATTAATTGTAATAAGTATTTAAAACTTTATTTTTTTATATAAAAGAATTTTATATTATTTTAAATCATCAACCATTATATATGTAAATCCACTCACATGTAATTATTTCAGTTTAACTGTCAACTATTAAACTATTAGTAATTTTTATCTTAAACTTAAATTAAGTAAATAATTAAAACTTACGATACACATATGCTAGCTAAGTGTATTGCCCAGCACGACTTGTAATCAGCACTTCTAATTTTTATTTTTTAATCAAGTTAAAAGTACATAATATACATAAGATTTCCCACTTGGTTATGTAGCTTTTATTTCTTGAAAAACTATGACTATTATTAGCTATATATTTAATTTAAATATGAAAACAAAAGATAAAATGATACATACACATGTATATAATTCATGTATTCCTCCTTTTATATCATTTACTAAAATATAAAAATTGTTAATACATGCTTTAACATTTATATTAATAATTTCACACATATATATTTAAACTACTTATTCATGTAATTAATAGTTTAACAAAAGGAGATGTTAAAAGTGATATTGTGATTATAAACCTTTCACTTGACAGAATCACTGATCCATTCTTTTTGGTCGGAAAAAATAGCAGCCGCTACAGTGCTGCAACCTGCGTCATCACAAACTGTGCACGTAGAAATACCAAGTTTTCTTGTTTCATATTTCCTAATAAAGTTACTTGCAAGTTACAATTACTACGATTTATGGGAAAAACAGTCCCACAAAGACAGCATCAGCACCAGCTTTCACTAGCTTTGAGGCATTGTCAATCTCCATTTATAGTGCTCACCTCATAAAGAGATGTCATGTCACATGTATCGGTAAATGAGTTAACACATCAGATCAAAGTTCAACTTGCATTCATTCATCGATAGATCCATTGGAAATTTTCCGTTCTCGATTAGGTAAAGTTTGGTGTAGGAAATCTTTTATTACTAACTCAGTTACACTCATTCATTAAAACAATTGATAAGAAAGTTTATTATATATATATATATATATATATATATAACTAAAATATATAAGTATAAAAATTCTTATATTAAATATAATTTTTTTATTTAATTTATATTTAATAGATTATAATTTATTATTTTATTAATTATTAGATATAAATTAAATAAAAGATTCAAATTAAATATAAAATTTTTAGATTTATACTAATATAATTTTTTTTCATATATATATATATATATATATAATAAAAGTGACATATGAGATCCTTAATAAAAATTTATGCTCATTTTTAATTCAGGTAAAAAAAAAAGTTATAATAAACTTTACATAAAATCTCCTTAAAAAAATTAAAATTTCTACATTCTTTTACTTTATTTTTAATTAATTTCTTAAAAACACTAGTTAATATATATTTTTATATTAAAAAGATGTTGACACATGGGCAAATAAACGCTAAACAGTACAAGTTGCAATTCATTGAATTTAAGTAAAACTACTAGACAAAACACAATGAATTACATTAGTGTTTCACGACAGAAGTCCAAGGCAAAACTAATCAATTGTGAAAGTTAAAATCAGAAATATTAATTTAAGTTAAATAGCAAAGCAAAGACGCAATGATTTAGAGGATCAAATGAATAAAGAAAAAAAAAACAAACTTTTTCATTATCATAAAACACTTTGACATCGACTACAATTTAATTAAAAAGAAAAGAAAGGCTTGTAAATTTATTTAATTACTAAACAGCGCAGTTTAGACGTATGCGCGTATTGCGTAACTTAATAAATTGAAGACTAAAAATATAATATCTTTAAGAAATAATGTGGACAATTTGGAACTTCATCATCAAACTTTTGCATATGACTTGCAAAGTTAACAACATGGCTTGGATTCAAGATCAAATAAAATAACATAAAAAAAAAATCTAATGATATATACTTTTAGTGGACCTTTTTAAACATGTTTTTAATTAATTAAATTTTATGAAAAATCATGCGAAGCTTATGTTCACTCATAATTTAAATATTTTTATTCATGTTTTCATATTTGTGATAAATTTTATCAAATTAAAAACTATGATAAAAAATATTTTAGAAAGTATATTTCTAACACTCTTCAATTAACATTAATCAAACAAGATAGATGCTATTTAATGCCCTTAAGTGATGTCCTAAATGATATTGAGTAACAAATCATTACATAATATTATCCCAACAAAAACAAATGCTATTTGATAAAAAAAATTGAAAAAAATATTTCAATTTATTAATTTGTACAAAAATTTAGATTTCTTAACCTATTTAAATGCTGATTTGTTTAGTAAATAAGTTGAGCTTTGATGATAGATTTAAATATAATTTAAGTCTACTCAATATAAAGTTTAGATAACTAGAATTAATTTGTTACTCTTCTAATAAATTTACTATGCTTAAGTTTTTTTTTTGTCTATAATAAAATTTTCTACTTATATATAACTTCAAATTCATTTTTAAACTTTTATTATAACCTAGAAAAAGATAAACGCGAATAGGATTTGAGGGTAGTGTTTTTCTCTGGGAGAATGCTTTCAATTTCCGGTTTTGGTAAAGTAGATTATTTTGTGTTTGACTCTTGTTAATTAATCTGTTAAAGCAGCAATGACGTGAAACAAGTTGAATTTTACCTCAACCTTAATGATCACATTAATTAATTATCTTGGTAATTGATCTATAATGCAAGGACCAAATGGTAATAAACGAAGCCGCATTTTAAAAAATAATAATAAAATAAAAAACCCATTTACCAAACGACAAAATAAAGGCTATCAAGACCTACCAAAGCAAAAGCTTATTGGCAACGTATGATTCATTCATTGATTGAGAAGTTTAAAATCAGGCAATGCACACCAAAACTCACCCTTTTCTTGGCTTATTTGTTTCCCCAAGTTTTTATAGTTTATGTTCTTCCACCTTTCCACTGTTTTCTAACTACTTGTTTTCATTGCTTCATATTTTTTGTTTCCTAATAAAGGATTCTAGAAGCATGTCTCAACTGACTCCACTCACTCTTGTCAATTCAAGTTTTATATATATCAGTAACTAACGCCCCCTACCATCCATGGTTGAGATTATTAGTGCTCATCAATACTATCCTTTTCTTTCAATTCTTTCACCCACTAGACAAATTAATTCAATATAAACCAAAATTATTCAACTTGCCTTACAGATAACAATTTAACCAAAGTTCCTATGATATGTTGATGAGGAATATTATTATATTATGAAAAATGAAGTAATACTAAGAGTGGTCCCATTAACCATATCTTCTTCATGTGTGGAGTGTGTTAAGAGTGAAAAAAAAAAAGATGGTTTAGGAGTATATATATATATATGGGGGTGGTAGCATGAGGTCACAAGAACACTTGATCCATTTATCTAGTTATAATATTGGTAATGATGGGTATTTTGAGAAATATTAGTCATTTTCAAAGTTCAACCAACCTCCTTTCCCATCCAACACAGTTATGCCATTTTGAGCCGGCCATGTCAATTTTAAATTTTTTTATGGACATGGTTGGTAAGGCTCACCTTCCTACCTTAGTTTTTTGTTGCTTCTAGAAGCACTAGAAGAAAATTGGTCTTTAAAATAAGGGAAAGAATCTGAGAGGTTGGTGACCCACCTCCATCCCCACATGGTTCTCCCACCTCATCTATTGGAATGAGTTGGGCCATTCTTTTGTTTGCTCTTCTCATGCCACACTCTAGTAGACTCATGCTTTTCAAGTTCTTTCCTTTCATTATAATCTTATTTTAACATTTTATGGAATTGGTATTATTCTTATCTTGGGGTATTTTGACTGTGATCAAGAGTCTATTAATGTGTCACCACTGAGAGATTTTCTCATGTGGGTCCATATGAAGATTAGATTAGGAACACCAAAAAAAGTGGAGGACCAATATAATTTGCAACTGTTCAACTCCATGTTGCATATATTCCATAATTCTAAAATGATTAAAAGGACATCATAATTTGTTGACATTTTCTTCCACGTTGACAAACCAATCCATGTATTCATGGCTTTATTGTCTCTGAATCAAGTGCCTAATTCCAACATGCCTATTCATTTCAAAGGGATATATATATTTTCTATAAATATATCTTTCTACAATCTTTTTAACCAGCGAGCTAGATATGCAGAATCGGATTCTATCTTGTTCAAATTAAAAGAGTATATATATATATATATATACTTAACAACTAACAATCAGAACCACTTTATATGGATGCTGCGCTCTATATAATTAGGTTTGCTGTGAACCAGTATGAAAATGACCACTGTTAAGAGAGTTTAATATTTTTTTCTTATAATTATCACTGTTAATAGACACTTGATTCAGTGGTTAGTTAAAAAAAACGTTAATATCTTTTAATCTTTAAGATATTAAAGAAATCACAATCATTAATTTAAAAAAAATATAAAATACTATTTTAAATTTAGGAATCATTTAAATAAATAAATAAATTTTTACATTCGTAATGAAAATTATTGATTTTAGAAATCTTATTATTTTTTCTCAAAATTTGATGGTGAAAATTAAATTGTTGAAATAAAAAAAATATACACAAAGAATGGGTAACAAATCCTATGACTATACGAGCCCCATAGTCAAAGTTAAAAGCCTCAACGGCAAACAAGGCACTATTGAAATCAAGACAAGAAGACTAACTAAAAACTTTGTTGTCTTTGATTAACTTACTTACCTAACAAAGTTGCGTCATATTTTTTTATATTTAGAAAATATTTCAAGTTTTCCTATTGGTTGGAGTTTTTTTTTTTTGTCAACTCCCAAAAGTTGACGTTGATGGTTTTGGTCTAGAAAGCATAAAGCCCAGCCAAATGGCCCAATTCAGTACATTTTGGAACCCAAAAACATTTCACATAGTTTTTCTTTTTTCACTATCGCCTTATATATTCAATTATTCCTTAAAATCATCAAATATAGTTCATTTTAATTTTTATTATCATAATTGTAAGGACTGCAATAACTATTACTTTATAATTTTAGAAACTAAAATATCTATTTTTTTAGAATTTATTAAAATATAGTTTTTATAATTTTAAAGATTGAATGTAACAGTGCTCCTAATTTTATACATTACTCTGTCATTGTCAACTTAGAGGCTACTTTTCGATATTTTAAAAATTAATTTTGAAAGAGGAGCGTCAATTGTAATTCCAAAATGTCTATTGTCTTTTTATATTAAAAATATTATTATCATTATTACTTGAGTTATTAATTAATTAATAAAAAATATTTCACATGCAAAATTATTTTTTAAAAAAAGTGCCAATAGACATTTTAGAGTGATACTCACCCTTGCGGAAAAGTGAAAAAAATTTGCTTAAAGAAATGGTAGCGATATATTATTTAACAAACTCTTTTTTATTAGTTAAAATGTATTAAAAATTATATCTTAAATTAATGTTTCTTTTATATACTTTTATAATTTTAACAAATTATAATTAATAATAAATGATGTGTTAAAGAGTGTTTCTACTATTCCTCGTATCGCTTGTATATCGAACCGTTGATTTTATTATCTTCGTTTGTAGAACCGAGAAAGAAACAGGCCTTAGAAGTGGACATGGTTAACATTGTTGAGTGGCTAAGTCTCATGGACAAAAAACAAACTGGCTAATGATCTTGGGCTTTCCTTTTGGTTTTAAATAGGGTCCAAACACATACAATTCAACTAGCTCAAACTTAGGTTGACGTTCACGACTAAAAACAAAAAAAAACTTGGGTTGACGTTGACAAAAAACAGATGCTGACAAAACAAATAGCTCAAACTGGAGCTCTTGTTGTTGACTAAAAAAAAAAAGGTGAGCTTTTATTTTTAAAATATTTTAAGTTCTCATTATTTTTTTATATATAGGTTTTTTAATTATTAAATATTTTTTCAAGATTATATATATATATATACACATAAATTATCTTAAAAAATAGTAAGAGAATTATTATTATTTTTTATAAAGTTACAACAAAATTGATTATTCATTTTATTAAAAATCGCAAGGTCGATTCATTCACACGGAACATATCCCAGTCTTGTCATTCTTTTTCTTTGCACAAGTTACGGGGAAATAAATTGCAGTATTAGAACATCTTTGCAATAATCACTTAGCGGTTCTCCCGTTGAAAAAAAAAAGAAATTTTAATTGAGATTTTTTAAATAAAAAATACATAATCATAACATAGTATATGAATTAATATAAATATTTAAAATTAAAGAAAAACTCCAGTTTTTATTTAATGACACTCTGTAATATTTCAAGGTAAGGATATAAAATAAAATAAAATCAGACACGAGTTATAAGGTTTTTTTTAGTAAGTTAAATTGAAATAAAGAATTTGAATATATATATATATATATAATCTTTTCTATGTTTTATCTCAACAAACTCCCTGATTAAAAAGGCTTATTTGCATATAGCAAAAAATGGAGTTTACAAAACTGAGTTTAAAGGTTTTCAACCCTTAACCAAACAAAGTAGAAGAATTAGGACATGAAAAGACTTAAAAGGGTTTCATCAGCAGCAAAATATTCTTCTCCTACCACCATCCCTACTCAGACTAAAATAAAGTGAAGATTGTTATAATAATAATAATTATTAATAAAATGCCAAAAAGATTATTATTATAAAGTAAAAAATAAAATAAAATATTAAAAAAATTTATTAATACACTTCTATCATAATTTTTAGTAAAAAAATATTATTATTTTCTTAACGAGTTCCCTTTTTTCAAGGCTTAACCAATACCTCAGAGTACTGAATAGCAAGATTTTTATCATTATCATGATCATCATTTCAAAATTTATTATATAGTGAGACTACTTTTTGACGTTCCATACATGATGAAGAAACACTAGAGAATTGCGTGCTGAAAGGCAAACGCAAGAGACAAAGCAAATTGAAACCAAAGCAAAGCGAGGAAACCCAACTGCACCTACTAGTGGTTAATGGGTTTTATTTGGAAATCCCAGAATCAGAAAAGTGAAATTAAGAGGAACAGAGAAGTAAAATTGCGTGCATGAAGGAACAGCAACTTAGCAATGCTTGGCGCAGAAGCAGCGTCTTCGGAACCCACGGCACTTACCACCTGTGAAACCTTCAAGATGGCACACTGAAGCGCAATTGTGATTGCTTAGGCACATCCCTTTAAATCGATGGCTCTTTGACTCACAGTGCCTTCCCTCAGTTTCTACTACCATCTCTGCATTAACACACACAACACACACACTTTAGTTAAACATGTTTCATTCATTTTTCACTTTTAATTGCATGCATATACCATAGAGCCTTACGAGAACCAAGGAGAATGAACAATATGAAGAAAACCCCAAATCGTGCCTTGTCCATAATTATTTCCCACTCACACTTTGATCTTAAATCCTCGATATTGATATGAACAAAGAGGTTCAGCGCTCCTATCTATTTATAGCTAGCTAAGGTGGGTGTGATAATAAAATCTCACTTTTATATAAATGAGCAAATCATAAATTTAAATTATTTAAAACTTTTAAATAAATAAATTATTCAAATTTAAACACATACCCTTTTAAATAGAATGTTGATAAACTTTAAAAACTGGACACGAGCTTGTATTTTTCTTAATAATATGCCAATATGCTATTCTAAGAAAAAAATTATTAATTTTATAATAAAGATATGAGTGTTGTGAAAATAACTTAACTGTTATAAGTTATTTTTATATAATTTTTGTAAGCTTATTTATAAATTTCATGATTAAATTTATAGCTTTATTAAATTAATAGTTAATTATAGGTGTATTTATATAAAAAATTAGTTAATATAATTTTCATGGAGCAGTATATTTGGGTACTTTCCACAGTCACCCGAGCCAAATCTTGGTTTAAGGGAATCTGTTCACGTGCAAGGAGAGACCTACACGATTCTTCTTGTCTAGCAAAAGATGGTCGGTCGGTAATTAAAATATGATGTGTAATATTTATTTTGTTGTAATATGATTCTGTAAAAATATATATTTAATTACTCTTCTTTAAAATTGGTTTTACTTTTAAATCATGTTTAAACTAATACTTATAATTTTTTAGCAGAGTTAAATTTTATAAATATACTCAAATTTATCATAAAACATGAAGGTGAATTGGCGTAAAATTGTTTGATATGATATTGAATTCGAGTATCTACATAAGCTGTTCTAACTGATGGAGAATAGAAAATCTACATAAGCTGTTGATTCTCGACAGAGGATTCCAAACACAAGAATGGGAAAGCTGGAAAGAGGTGATGAAGATCATAATTAAGGTTTATAATTTGTTTCAAAAGTGCACGCTTTCGCAAGCACGATGTTCATGGCTCTAGTTTCAGGAATAAAGTGTTTATGACGGAAAATTATTAAATTCATCTTGGAGAGTTGGCGATCCAATTAAAGGTGGATTTTTTTTCTTTAGAATAGAAATTCCTTTAATTAACTTCTACAAAAGTTCTATTTTTATTTTTATTTTTTCTAAAAATATATTTAGCCTAACTTTTTATAAAAGGAAAAGTAAAATTTGATCAAACTCTATGCATGTAAGACACTCTTCCTAAAAGTATATTTTGCTATCAATGATTTTACTATTATCTGGTAAAATTTATTATTTGGTTTAACATTAAAAAACATGTTTTTGGAAGAAAATTTTATATTAATCAAATGATAAATATTGAGTGAATCGCCAATGCTTTATTTAATAAAAAAATGATTTTAGTTTTACAATAAAGAAATTTTTATCCTAAATCTTCAGTCTATTCCTCTTTCTAATCCTTACATTAATTAGTATCAATTAATAAGAAAAAAACTGGTGTGACACGTTTAAGTGTCATATAAGTTGCCAATTAAGATACACACTAAGCATTATTTTGGTATTAAAAAATTATCATATCCTTTGTTTTATCTCTAAATTAGTCTCTAAATGAACATTCAGAGTTCGGGTATCTTGATTTTCTAGGCATTCTAACAGAGTTTTACAAAAGTAAAAAAAAAAACTTACAATGGAAATTTAAACAGGCAGTTAGTCATCGTTTTGGCCTTAACTCTTCTAATTATCAGGGAATGTTTCTAATTTTTTTCTTTTGGCCTTACATTTTAATGCATATTCTGAGGCATATACCCATTACCCTCGTTTCTTAGAATCAGATCATTCCTTAAACTAGATTGAGCACACCCTCACATAATCCCTAACTTTTGCTATATTTTTCTTTTTAGCGTAACATAGGAAAAAGGGTCATGCATAAGCTAAACCAACGGCTTTGTGACTGGACTATGCCTGGGAAGCACACACACAGTGTACAAGCCCAACTTTTTGTGTCCTATGAGACATTAAATGCCTTTTTGTCCTTCAGTAATAAAATTATAAAAATAATTTATATAATTTTTTATAATAACAATAAAATTTATTTTAAAAATAAATAAAAATTATAATATAATATATTTTCTTAATTATGTACTTTTTAATTTTTTAATTTTAAAAATTAATTTTAATAAATTATTATAAATAAAAAAATATCACAACTTTTTTTAGACAAAATCACACCATATTTTTACGAGAAAACCGTGTGAAACGCTCTAAAAATATATTATTGTTCACACGTATAAAATAAAATATTCAAATACATAAAAGTTTTTTTTTTTCACACTTTTTCATCCTTATATAATGTTTTCGACCAAAACAATCAAAGGCTTAAAGTTTTTCTTGACTTTTTTTTATAATTTATGTTAATTATTATTTAATATATTATAATATTAAAAATATAAATTTAAAAATCATTAGTTCCCACGGATTCAAACGCAACTAAATTATTGTATTTTTAACGATTCAGTTATCAATCGAGTGTTAAGAACATTAGAAAAGGTTTGTACTATTTGGGAGTTGTTTTATTGAAACATTTTTTAAACAATTATATCATCTGTTTATATTTTGTTGTATTTATTTACAAGCTTGGTTAACAAAAGTGAAGACAAGACCATTCGAATGCTTTTAACAGTCCCTCGATAATGTAGACAATGTTTATGATCTCTAGTTTTGTCAAATATTTTTGGGATAAATGAAAGATAAAGATAAATATTAAAACAATAAAAACCATTTTGGTGGGAGAGAGAAAAATAACTGAATCATAGTTGCACTGGAATGTGGGAATTAAGAGGCATTAATCATAACATGAAGCCTAAACACAGTTAAGCAAAAGCATAATCCCAAATGAAAATACTATTACAAGTAATATTTATTTGGTGTTCCACAGCAACTACGTCCACCGAACTAACGTCAACAAAGTTTGGTGCAAAAGCAGCGGCGGTGGAACCCTCGGCAGTGGCCACCGGAGAAACCTTCGTTCCTGCAAACGAGAGCACAGTTGTGGTCACCGGCGCATGCGCCTTTGAAGCCGTGGCTCTGTGACTCGCACACCCTTCCCTCTGTCTGCACCACCACTTCTGCTTCCATTCATCATTGAAACAAAATTAGTTAATAAACACATGAATGCATGAACATCACAGAATAATTCATCAGTGTTGAATGGATCTTACGGGAAGCAAGGACAAGAAGGAGCAAGAACAAGAAGCCAAGTGATTTCCTCTCCATCTTGGTATTGATGATACTGTAACTATAATTGTAAATGTACACAATGGGTGTGAACCAAACGTTGGTCTTGGGGTCTTGTTATATACTGATGAAGTTACTCTATATCAGGAGCGTGCATGACGTGTCAGATGACGATGAAGACGAATCCATCTTTGAGATACGAGAAGGGGTATCTCTTCACGTGAGATTATATGAGAGAGAGGTTTGTCACTTTGTGCTTAGAGTGTAGTGAAAGGGAGAGAATGGGGATTCAAGACCAAGACAGTGCAAAGGCCAGTTTCACATGAAAACCTGCAACTTTTGCAGAGGGTAACCCCAAAAGCCATAAGCTTGCGGGGGATCCATGTACCTCAAAATCCCAAATACTTGTTCATGCCATATGGAGGATAGGGGTTATATTTCAAAGTTAAACAAAATTTATTTTAAATATAACTTGTTTTTTCATTCATAATGTATTGATGTTTAAATAAAAATTTGTTTTTTTAATTTTCTAATCTCTTGGATGAAAAGATGTTGGTTTACCCTAAATAACTATATTTTTTTCTATCCGAATCACCTTTTATACTATAAATTTCAGTCCTCTCTTTTAAATTTTTTCACACGAAAATTTTTTCTTGTGAATTTTTAGCTTTCTTAAAATTTATGCTGTCAAATTTGTTTTTAATTTATAATTTATTTTCCATAAATCTAAAATATTTACGTTTTTTTATATATTAAAAGTAATTATAAACACGTCTCTTATAATTTTGAAAATATTTCTTGTGATCTAGTATTTAAAAAATATATAAATTTATAATACTCATATAATATATTAAATATTTACTAATGTTATTTGAAAGGCCTGATGGGTAGCCATGTCTACCTTTTATCTTTTTTTGTTGATTTAAAAAAGAAAGTGGGTAGAGCATAGGTATCTCTGCGAAAAACAATCCGTTTTAAGCCAATAAAATTATTTAGTAAAAGATTATAGTGTTTAAATAATATTTGCACATGAGAAATTTACGTTTTTATATTTTTTAAATTATTAAATATAAATAAAAAAAATGTGCATTAGAAAACACAATCTTTTACTTTTATTTTCTTCGATGTGTAAAATTTAAAAATGAAATAGAAACGTTGATCTGTAAAAGTTAAATTGGCTTGTGGGAAAGGTCGAAAGAAAGGTAAGACAGTGAAAGGACGTTTTTTTTTTCTCAATGTAGAAGAATATCGAGAGCTATGATCCAATTCATTGTATTGGTCACTGGGAATGAAAGCACAAACTCAAGTCCTTATTCTACTCTGACCAAAATTTTAAATAAAACCCTTATTTTACATTTTTCTTTTACAATTCATTGTATAGAGCTATTAGATATAAAGAAAATGACTTGCCTATGTTTGCATATATATATATATATATATATATATATATAATATTGGTTTTATTTAAGGGTGGATATATAGGTTATATTAAGCTAAGTTGTACTTTAAATATTTATATCTTGATTTTATAAATTTAAGACTTGAATTTAACTTATATGGCTTGATACATACAGTTACCTGAGATTTCACAAATTCAACTAGTTTAGTAGCGCATTCAATTTATAGATATTTTATTTATGTAAATAATTTAATAACTAAATAATAAAATTTTAATTTTTTGTGTATATGTATATATTTATAATAATTATTTAAAAAATTATTTTAAGTTAATTCTATAACTGTGAATAGTATTTATCAAAATAATAAAAGTTTAATAAAATTTAATAATTTTAAAGTATAATTTATTTTCAAATAATATTTTTATCATACAGTATAGAAAAACTAATTAAATATTAAAAATCAATATAAAAGTAAACTTTAAATTTATAGAAAAAATTAAGAATTTTTATAAAAATAAAAATATATATATTTATAAAAAATATATACATAATTTTATGAGGTAATAAGAGAAAGTTAAATTTTTAATCTTAAAATTATACATGATTAATTATGAAAGATAATATTTTTACTAACATTTAACTTTTTAAATAATTGATTCTCATTTATAATATAAAGGTTAATTTTATTAAAAATACATAAGATTTATAACAAAGAGCTTGATTTATTATGAGAACTAAAATTATAAAAAAAAATTATGACTCTAATTGTGACTATGAGAATTAATTTTTGGTCCTTCCAAATTAACTACTTAATGCAAATTACCTTATTATTATAAAACTAAAGGATTGCATGATAATTAGCATGTCTTGTAACTCTTAGAAAGGATATAAATATGGCTATGAATTTTTTTTTAAATTATGTCTAAAATATTAGTCCAAATTTTTTACAAAAATTCAAACAAAAATATAAATTTTAGAGCTATTTATTATTGATTCAGGTCCATTGAATTGATAAATTGTGGTCAACAAATGCATTTTAAACATTTGAATTAGGCTCTCTAAACTTTTGTATGCCATTTAGGATGCAAATATTATCATTAAATTGTAGAAAAATTAACAAATCAGGTGTAAGTTTAAACTCAAGTTGATCCCCTTTCAAGCTTTATGATGTTTGGTGTTCGTTCTCTTTATTTTTAATCTAGTCATTTAGTTTCTAAGTGCTTATAAAAGATTTCTGCTTATAAAAGATTTATAGTTAGGCTAGTTAAATTCCTTTCATTTATTTTTTTTAGATTTGGCCTAAAAATTAATTTAAAAATTTTCTTTGTAAAAAGATCTTTCGTGTAAACTAACAAACCCAAAATTATTTTTAAAAAAAATTAGATAACTATGTTTTTCAAATCTTAAAAAAAACTTTCGAGAAACTAGTACTCAAATGGTGTGTTAAAAGATATTTTAAACCAGGTAACAATCTTATATTTAGATCAATTATTACTTTCTAAAAATATTATTTTTACAAAAAGAATTAATAAAAACTCATAACATAGTCTAGCAAAAAAAAAAAAAAAAAAAACTCATAACATAACCTTGATTAGTGAATAGTTAACAAATACATGAATATAGAAATAGAATACACAAATATTTATTTTAATTCATCATTAATAATTTAGACTATATTCTTCACAATTTTTATTATATATATATATTCATCAAAACAATATCTCTATTATTCACAATGATGTTAGGTATCATGTCATATGGTAATAACAACTCAGATTTAGTAATGTCTAATTGAAATAATTTGCTTGCTTAGACATTAAACAAAAAAATGATAAAAAAATCAAGTTAATTGAAGTTACACTAACAATTTCAAGTAACAAGAGCTTATATTTGTTGGTTTTATATGTACTATCAATTATCAAAACAATGTTAAATAGATTCAATAGTTTTATGACATTTGAATGTGTCCAAAATATGTCTTTCACCATATTTGACATTGAAATTGTTCTATGTCAATACACATATTTATCATATTCTATTCATTTCATTAGCTGTTAACTTTTAATTTAGAACCATTTTTGAGATACTTAAAATGCATGACATGCCTGATATACATGCATCATAATGAAGAAGTTACATTCAATATAACTTTCAATATAAGTAACATACTTCTTGAATTGAACTATTTTTTATCATATCAATAAGAAAGGTCATGTTGTGACATTACTACAACAAGATTAATTCAATTGCATAAGTTAAATTATTAGTCGCTATTATATTAACTTAAAAAGATTTGATAATAAGGATATTTATAAAAATAAATTAAAAAATTAAGAAAATATACAAATAAAAAATGATTTTCAAAAAGCAACCTTAAGGTTGAATGAGCTAATTCATTTAAATTAACATTTAAAATAGATTAGGAATAAAGGTAAACTAAACTTATAATGCGGTGCATAATGATACAACTATAGCAACAAAAAGCAAATCACAAGTATGAGTTGACTTTGTGTTATAATACCTCAAAAGTTAGAATTTAAATTCTTACTTTTTTATTAAATAATGGCTTAAATATAATTTTAATTTTTATAAATGTAACACATTTTACGATAAATTTTTATAAAATTTTTTTTATTAGAACTTAGTAATTGAAATATTAAAATATTAAGATTTAATTTATATTGTAACGTTAAATATTGAGTTGGCTAATAATACTAAACACTTTTACGTCACTATCATGTCATTTAGATTTTTAAATATTTTAGACTTAATTATATTTTTAGTCACTATAAATATTGTATATTTTATGATAATTTTTTATAATTTTTTTTTAAGATTTAGTCTTTGAAATGTTAAAAAGTTAGAATTTAGTTACTATTAATTTTCTTTCTGTTTGACTCATATAAAGTTAGCTTATCACTGTCACATATTGTCACTTTATTTAATTTTTATTATTTTATTATTTAAAATTAATATTTACAAATTAGTTCTTATCATATTTTAAATATTTATTAAAAAGTCCTCTATAATCTTAATTCTTTCCTTTTTGACTCTTCTTCTCATTCCCTTTCTCTCTCTATTCTTGTTTGTTTTGTGTAGGACTAGGTAATACGTGGGTTCGAGTGAGTTCAGACTTTAAAATTTAAAACCAAAAGAATTAAATTAATAAGAATTTAAGATTGCTTTCGTTCAAATTTTCTCTTGAGTTGAGCAACTAACGGTTGATCGAATTGTGGGGCAGGTGGATTCAAATTGGTCAAAATTAAATCTTGGTTCTGCCATTGATGAATAAAAAACTAAACACAGAGCATAGAGGTAGATACTATACTAAAAAGATAATTGACAAAGAGAACCTAGCTTTTGCACACTAAAATGTGTATATTTAATTCCTTCTCCTCATAAGTTCTCTGTTAGTCAAACTTCTATGTTCCTTGACTAATTTTAGTTAAGCCGCTAATTCCTTGGTCTCGATCTCTACTTGGAGAAAGAGATTGAAAGAAGGTTGGATGAGATATTAAGCATACTAGAGTAACCCCACCATCTTAACCTCTTTTAGAACTTTTTTTTTCTTTTTTTTTCATTTTTTAACATGTCAAGTCACTATTCTTTTTTTATTATTTTCTCTTAGCATCAACTATAAGCAATGCTATGATTCTTTTTGTTTTTTCATTTTCTTAAGGCTCAAGATAGTCATGATGCAGCAAGAAAATGGTCAACGAAAAAATGACCCATGTTCATCAGATTAAAAGTTCATTTCAATTTAATTCAAGCCTTGTAAAATGTGTTTCATAAAAACTTAGGTAAGGTTCATATTTTGATGGGTTTAAAAGCATAAATTCATAGCTGACCAAATAAATATGTTTTTAACTTATTTTTCAACTAATTGACCTACTATCTATCTAAGTCAATTATAAACTTATTTTTCATTCATCAAATTCATTGGTTTTAGTCAATTAACTTTCTCTTGCTCAACCCTAATTTGGGGTACTCCACTCGCAAGCTTTGTGCATCTACATTAGGATTCTCAAGAAGATAGAGGGTCAAAGAGATAGAGGAGAGAAGAAAAAAGAAAGCACTGAAAGGATAAGAAATTAAAGTTTTGAAAGATTTATTTTATAAATATTTAAAATATGTTTAAAGGCTTGTTTGTAAATATTATTTTAAATATTAAATATTAAATAATTAAATAATTGACAATACATAATAGTGATGAATTGACTTTTTATAAACATTTTAAAAAAGAAGAGTTAAGAATAAACACTATATTTTTACTTCTTAATATTTTAAGATTAAATTCTAATAAAAATTTTTATAAAAATTTATCACAAAATATGATACATTTGTAGAGATAAAACTATATTTAAGCCTTAAATAATTACAAAATATTATGAAAATAGATTGATTAGCAAACATGCGATTGCAACCTATTTACCCAATGGGTTATACTGTTAAAACTATATAGGCGGGTAAATAAATGATCATATAAATTTCTAACCTTACAACTGCAACAAATATGAATAATGTACCTAACTCTAACTATATGTGTCTTATATTATATATTTTTTTAACTTTTTTTTTATTTCAAAATACCTATTATTTTTGAAAAAATTCTAAAAACAATGTAACACACACACACACACATATATATATATATATATATATATATATATATATATATATATATATATATCACACTAGTATAAATCTAAAAATTCTTATACTAGATCTAAGTTTTTTATTTAACTTATATCTAATAATCTGTTAGATATAAGTTAAATAAGAAGTTTAAATCAAATGTAAAATTTTTAAAACTTATACCAATATAAAAAGATTTTATATATATATATATATATATATATATATTATTCTAGCAATTGTTTAAATTTATTACGTAACTTCCCTTGTCTAAATTATATCATCAATAAATTTTGAAATTATTTTAAAATATCTATGTAATTTATAAAAGTTGAAACTCATAAAAACTTTTGTAAAACTAAAATAAAAAAAATTTAATCACATCTATAAGAAAAAAAATATCTTTCTCTCCTTAGTCCTGCCCTAATCAATCTTAAGAGTAGCTCCTTGTTGGGCTGGCCTTACTCTAATGTTTCCAACCTCAGCCTCCTATATTTTTGCAACACCTCCCTTTGTCTTTGTACTTTTTGCCAGATCAGATACCCCATGTTTTTGCCCTTCCCATAACTGCAAAAATGAAGAGTCAGATTAAGCTACTTTTTGTTTTAAAATTAAATAAAATTTGCTTTAATACAGTTAATTTTGAAAAAGAAAAACAAGTCCATTCGATGGAGGGATAATTGGCATATATATTTTTTAATTTCTATATTACCATATTTTTTAAGGACAAAAATTATGTAAAACATCTTACATAATTTTAACGTTATGTTATTAATTAAAATTAAAATGTTACATAATAATCAGCATTAATTTAATTTTATTTAAAAATAATATAAAATATGATTAAAATATGACATATAAAATTTAACATTTTATTAATATTGGATTCCTCTCCATCGCCATCCCACACCTTTCCGGAGCTTCCTTTTCTCTTCTTTATTTTGTTGTATGAAAGTGCTGTTGTGTATCTGTCCCAGTGACACATAAATAATGTCTTTTGTTACTCACATACAAATAATGAATAATGTCTAATAACGAACGAGATGCCAGTAAATATGTGAGTTTAACTTGTGCTGTCATGTTTAAGTCTAATATTTAAATATTTTATAAGATAAACTTTTAATAATAGTAGTAATTCATACTACACTTTATATTTGTTCTAATTATTTTTGATCAAATGAAAATAAAAACTTAATTCAAACAATAATTTATGAATCTTAGACCCATTCGCCATGCCCCTTCCCCTACTTTTGAATATATCTGAAGTGATAAGTAGATCGATTTTCTAATTATCTGATAAACCCAGCCTCGTTACTATTCTAAATGATGGTGCAATTCTTCATGCCTTAAGAGACTCAAAAAGGATGTTTGAAAAACAAAGGCAAACAGGTACATAAAGCATATTTAAACAGATAGAAAGATAGATAGCATGGAGTATTGAGTGGGTTTTATGATGAAATTCGGTGCCAAAAAGTAAAAGCAGGACTGCTTGCTGGAAATCGAATATGCATGTCTTCATATTTGTCAATTTTCTGCTATGTCAGACATTTTGCATATTATTAAAAAAAATACAGCTGGAACCAAAGGAGCACAATTTGGTCACCAGAAAAATGAAAATAAATACTGATATAGTCTAATACTGCTGAGTGCTGACTTATTAGATTATTCATATTTACAACTTATGGGTAACTACACCCCAGTATTTCGTATTTCATATAAATAATAAAATTTAGGAAGTTCTCTCCATCATGAGAAATCCCTTTTGTGAAGTCTTTTAAATAACATTGTCCCCTCCATCTGCCAAAGGGAAATTTTGGCAGGTAAGTTTCATTACAGAAAATTAGACAAAGTGTTTCTTTGAATAATTTAAATTATAAGGAATAATTGATTTTGTTTTGAAAATTTTTTAAGAAACTACAATTTTGTTTTTCAAATTAGCTAATATATGTACGATGTGAAGGTTTTCTAATAACTTGCTGATATAACTTGGGATTATATTCTCAAAGCACTCGTATCATACATAAGAAAACAACCAGTTCACAATTCATAGTGACAAAGATCTTAAAAGTGTTTTTGATCCTAGCAATCTTAATCAAGGGATCATCCTTTGTCTTCAAATTGTTTGTTTCAATGGACGCCTAGAATCAATGAGTCATGCATATAAGAATTCTCTAAACAAAATTAAAGCCAATGAACAAGCGCAGAGAGGCAACAAATTGACAGCCAATTGAAGATGGCGAAAAAAAAGCTGATTTAAAAGTCTAAACTCCATTGCGACGTGTTCTAGAAGTTCAGACCCATGACAGATATTCGCATGATCTTTTCTATCACTGCTGGAAACACGGATAATGACAGATCAAACATATTTTTTATGCTTGAGTTCAGACAAATCCGACAAACATATAGATAAGGCCCCACCAAAATTTACATCAAATTTATACATATAAATAATAGAGCAATATGTCCTCCATATATGAATAAGAATTCAAAAATCAAAATTCAAAATTCAAAACATCCCCTCCAATAGTAATAACAATTATAAATGATTAAACAAAAAAAGGCTCATATAAAGCATGCATGATTGAACACATTATCATGATTAACATTGAAACTTTCCTATTCATATGAATAGCAGCAATGTCCATCTTTGAAGTTGAACATCTTGGGTGGTGGAACTGAATGCAAACTGCTCATCTCCTTCTCCAATGCATATAACAATGATGTGATTCTCAGTCAGAAGAAGGCTTGACCTTCAACCGGTACAAGAGCTTCTTCTTCTTAGAGCTTTGATTTTCAATTGTGAGAACCACTTTACCAGGTTCACCAATTTTATAGTTGTTGCAAAGAACGGGTTCTTCTGATGAAGCAACTTTTCTAGCCTTCTGGATGATCACAGTATAGCTCCCCTCAGAACTTGGTATAAACTCAGCACCATAACTTACTTCCCACCCTATTACTCTGAGCTCCCAAGAAAGTAAGCAGTTCTGCAGGTTCCCAGGAAGTTTCCATGAACAGAATTTCAATGCAAAATTCATAGAAGTATATAAATGAATGCAAATGGCAACAACTAGCTATAGTACAGTTGGATTCAATTACTTATTGGCATGTTTGAAAGAGCTTTTATAAGTTTTTTTTTTTTTTTTTAAATTTATTTCAGTAAACTCCTTACTAAAACTTGTCAAAATAAACTGATTTCAGCTAATCTTAATAAGCTTCTTACCATGGTTTAATTTATGATATATGTCGTTATTTAAAACGAGTTTATCAAATAAGCGATTAATTTTCTAATTTAACCACACAAGGTTTCCACTCCAAATTTATTCTCTTCACCCCATAACTAACTAGCTTCTAAATAAATTAAAATGGACATCATGAGAAAGCGAACTTAATTAGCACTAGAAATGGATTTTGGCTCATAGCTATATTTATAACAGAAACAAAATTCGGCCACTTATATTTCCCAATTGTGTGTGTGTATATATATATATATATATGCTCTTCTCATGTTTATTTTATTGTTCCGTATTTACTAAATTATGGGGTATTTCCTGAGACATCTTATCTCCGGGCATAGATCTGCCTAATAGTATAACATTGAAATCTTGAGAGAACAGGGAATCCTAGGTAAGATTACTCATTTCAATGCTGCATTCCTTGGATTCTCTTTCAATCAAAATCAATCAGTTCCGACAAAAGAAAACACAAAGTAAAAGCAAAACCCACCTCAGTAACTGGAAATTCCACGGTGTGTTTTGCTGCTGGCCTCACTGTAATTTCAGTGACAGCATCGGAAATTCTGAACTCCCCATCTTTGCTCAGTCCACCATATTTGACCGGAAGTTGCTCTGCAGCTATGTATCTGAAACATCCATCTCCCAAATTAGGTACAAAACAAGGCAAACTCAAAAGACAAGAAACAATAAAATTATGAGTCTTTTCTGTCTTCACCTTAGAAGGGTCTCAGCTGATTTGGAAGGCCCAGCAAAGACAAACTTGCTTTTGGTTCTCTGAGTAAGAAAAGGGCTTATCATCCTGTTCACTGCCAAGTACCACCATGGCACATTGATAAACACCTACCCAACAAAAAAAAAATGAAGATTTAAGAATAATAACATTATATTATACCCAACATTTAATTTATGATTAAATATTTGAATTTGGAGTAACACACAATTTCATCCTAAAAACAAAATGAAGTGAAATATAGGAAAAATTAACATATTTAGAATCAAATTGTAGATTCTAATACTTTTGAATCTAATTGATCCTCAAAAAAGATCAAAATGCATATTTTTGAAAGAGCTCGTGACTTTCATAATTTTTTAAAACTTATTTTCATAATTTTTTTTATACATATCTTATCGAAATCAACTACTTTTTTCATATTAATAAGTTTGGTAATGAGTAAATTAAACTATTACCAAACTCGCCGTAAGTGACTAAATTACGTAACGCTTAACTAAGGGGGATGAAAGATATTAATGAGATCTCACTTTTGGGACCAAAGTATATATATTTAGGCTTGAATTGAAGAGGGTAGTACCTGTTTGGCTACAAACTCAGGATAGTTATCCTGAAGCAAATGTAGGGCCTGTTTGGTTGCTTGTCTAAGCTCCCACTTGCCAGGTCCAGGAGAATTCTTGAGATCATTAACCTGAACAATGGTGCTTATGCCACCAGGATTGAAATCCAACTTCCTAATACTCTTCTCAAGGAACTGAATTCTCCACCTGAGGAACTTGTGCCTCTTCTCCTCATCAGAAAAGGTCTTCTTATAAAGCTCCTTGTTCTGAAACTCCCCATATATGTTATAACACACAGGGTGTCCTTCCTTATCGAAGCCATGCATGAACACCGCCTTCTCAAGATCATCACCAAAACTCTCCTCCAACAACTCCTCAATCATAAACTCCTTCCTCCACCGAATCGTGTTCTTGATCATGGCGAATGCCTCCTTCACCTTGAAGTCCCTCGCACGCAGAAACTTCAAGAGAATCACATCGCTCCTCTCATCTGCCAGAAGTGGCACCCCCCAAATGGAAACCTCTTCAGGTACCAATGCCATCACTGAAGCTTCCTCCTTTTCCACCTTGGCTCCTTCTGGTTCCACTGAAGGTGAAGAAGACACAGCAACAGCCACAACGGTCTCTTCAATGGCTTCAACGGTTTTTGTTCCATCATCATCAACAGTAGAAGCACCGGCTTTGTTTTCAACCACCTGAGTATTTTTCACTTCTGGTGTTTCTGCTACTGGTTCTTTTTTTTTTCCTTCTCCTTCTTCTTCTACTTCTTCTTTGTTTGTAGTTTGGTCTTGCTCTGATGGTGGTGGTGGTGCCACATCAGCAGCAGCATGTTCTGAAACATGTTCCTTCCCCTCCTCAACGCTTTTTTCCTTGTTGTCAACGTTGTCTTGTGTTTTTTCTTCCTTGGGTGGGTTTAACTCGTGGTTGTTGAGTGCTTCTTGGATAAGGTGTTTGAGCTCTTGCAGTGCCTTTTTCTCAGTGTCTGGTAGGTCAGAAACTCTTGTGCTTTCTTCCTTGAAGGAACCCGATTCGGGAATGTTGTTGTCATCGCCACTGGATTTGGATACCACGGTCTCAGGAGCTTTCTCTTCCTCAACGAGCTTCTTCTTCTCTGGTGAAGCCTCTTCTTCTGTGTCTTTCGCCACACCTGTGTCTGTTGTTGTATCAGCAAGTGCGACATTGGTAGTAACCACCACTTCCTCTTGAGTTGTGGGTGTTTTTGAAGCTTCCTCAGCCATGCTTGAGTGTGATTAATGAGATAGTAGGGACAGTTTCTTTGATATGAACAAAATTTGAGAGAGAGAGGGGGAGAGAGAGAGAGAGGAGAGTAGAGATAGATAATGGTGCAGTGTGATGGAGAGAGAGGAGGAGTTAAAAAGAGTGGGGATGAAAAGTACCAGACTGTGCCAGCTTGGAATAGGGGCCCAACTTGGATGAGTGGGCCCAGGCCCGGATATAACGGTGTTATTAGACTGAATACCAAACAGAGTGGGCCTACCTGCAGGTTCCCCGGCCCAAGCGGTTAGAATTCGAAGCCAACGGTCCCATTTGCATTTCTTTATAAGAAGAAAACAAATAAAAGGGAGTGAAAGGGTTTGAGTCCGTTAATAGGCACTTATGAGGTTGGAGTGAGTCGCCCCACATTTTGCCTTGGATGCGTTCAGTGTTAGCTGTATCTTTGTTTCCTTTGAATTGCAGCGAAGCCGTTGAATAGCTCTCGTTTGCCCCACATCGATCATTTCAGGGCACTAATATTTATGTTAACAATGATGATTAATAGTTTAAATTTTGAATTGAATAATAGCATCGAATGATTATTTTTATACTTAACTGAATTGAATAATAGTAGGTCCGTCCTGTTTTTCTGACACCACTTTTATCCTTTATAAAGAAATTGGCCAAATTCGTTTTAAAATTATGTTAATTGAATATGTGTTTCACTAAATTATACTTTTCACCCTCTAAATGAAGTTTTTATTTACTCTCTTAACTTTGTCTTTTTCATTTTAGTTATCTATATTTAGTTTAAGTTTTACTTCGTTTCTTTTATTTTTTTTCATTCAATTTACTCCTTTAAATTCTTCTTTTGTGTTGAAGCTTTTTTCTAACTTTAAATTTGTATTCATTTAGAGGATATTTTAGTATTTGGAAATAAAAAATATTAATAATAAAAATCATAATGTATTCGATTTGATTAATAATTACAATCACTGTTTAGTTATTGTAGAGAAAAAAAATTACAAAAATGAGTAGTTGGTCATTCATCATTTACAAACAAATAATTTAGATTAATAAGTTGAAAAAAAAAGTTATAAGATTAGACTAAAACTTAGATAAACTTAAATGATTAAATTAAATAAATAAAATTTTCACTCAAACTTTGAAGATAAAAAGTATAATTTAGTCTATATTTTTGAACATCTAGATTATAGATTTATATTTTATTATATTTATTTTTATAAATTTTTCATATTACATAAAAATATTAAAAATAAATACTACAATGAATGATCCTAAAAAGATCCAGATGACATTTCTGCTCGTTTGATACAGAGGGTCCTTATAACAAATTTTAGAATATTGAATTAATGGATTTTCTGTACTTTATTATTATTTTGTCTAACATACATTTTGTTATGACATCCTTCGAGTACATTATTAGTTTAATTTTTGAGATTATATGAATTAAATAATCTAGTCTTTGAAATTTTATTAATTTTCAATTTTTTTAAATGATGTTATTTTTTAGTTTTTAATTCAAAATAATAATAAAATATTTTAAAAATAATTATTTTTTTTATAAATTGTGAGACTAATAAATAAAAGTAAGACTAAGTTAGGAATGTGATCTTACCTGTTTAAACTCTAAACTAAACTAACTTATTCAATTAACAAAAATTAAGTTAAGGCTTTTAAAAATATCTTTTTAATTAAGAAGACCAAATTTAGTTTTTTTTTTAATTTAAGTTTGTTAGTTCACCTACAATATATATAATTTTATAATAATATTTTATTTTTTTTAAAAAGTATTATATATAAAATTAATTCTTAAACAAATAATATTTTTTTATTTATAGATATATGAAGTAAAAGAAAAAAGGCCCGAAAAGCAAGCCTAAACAGAAGGCAACAAGAAAAAAAAAAAAACATGCAAATCAAAACATATTCATGCTACATTCGCTCTCACTGGACCTTCCTCCTTAAGCCCCTATCTTTTTTTATGAAAACTTTTTATATATTATAATTGGAATTTTCTCATTCTTTGATAAAAAAATTCTCTTTTATTTTATTTTCTTTCTTTCTCTCTTTTTTTTTTTTTTTTTTACTGTTATATTTATTTTCTTCTCTTCTTCCTTCTTCTTTTTCATCTATTAACGTTGTCATAAAACATCATCTTTTTTCCTTTTTTTTCTTGAAATTTAAAGTTGAAATAATTGCTTTATTAACAACTTTCTTTACTACTTTAGCATGAAACATGATAATTGCTAGCAAAGTCAATCAAAATTAAATAAAAATAACAAAATATATGGAAATGAAGTAAAAAACAGTATCTTCTTTTAACACTTAGTTATTTATATTTGATAATAAAATTAATACAAGTGAAATAAATATATTTACTTTCAATATTTTATTTTTTATTAAGTCATATATTTTAAGGGAGCATATTGTATTATATATCATTTATTTGTCAAAGTATTGTAATATCATTATTAGATATTATTATTCTCTATTATTCTATGTAGTTAGAGATTTTTATCCTTCTCTTTGATATACGTGTTACTAAGTATTGAAAATATTATTATCTTTAAAAAAAAACTAAAATATATACCTTATTCTAAAATCTAGATTAAAATTTCATTTTTCATTTCTGATTACTTTTCATATATTATTATTATTATTATTATAACATTTTTTTTCTAAAATACCAATATGACACATTGCTTCTTTTAATGGCAAAACTTTTACATTTTTTTTTATCATCATTCAACTAATGTTAGATTTAAATTTTATTTAATCTTTTTTTTTTGTTTAAAACACTTATAAGCCTAAATTTGACTAAAAAAGTCTTCCTCTCATTGACACATACTTGTAGGCTAAATCTAAGACAATTTTTCTGTTATTGTCAACTCCTTAATATCTTTACTACTCTTGAAACCTTATACTCACAACATTAGTGATTTAGAGTAAGACATTTAAGTTCATCTTAGTCTCAACCGAAATGACTTTATTGTAGCACATGCTCATCGATATTCTGACACTTTTAACAAGTGGCAATTTTATTAGACATGTAATGACTCACCATGTGTGCTAAAAAAAAATCTATTAACACCTATGTAAAGAGAAAATTCTCTTAGCCCAAGTATGTATTTTATTGTATTCTACCCTACTTTTGACCAACTTTCTCTAACTTAAGCATTGAAGTGTTTCTGCTAGAATCACCTACCAAAGATATTCAATATCAAAAAAGCTATATCCTAGCAATTTGGTATTCAATATCTGGTAAAACTATTTCCAAAATTACCATGGAGAATACCTTCTATCAATAAAAAAAATACTTGCAAGACAACCAAGATTCACCTTAGCCTAGGCTTAAAGAAGTTCCTAGAAAGGCTATGAGGTTCACCTTAGCCAAAGCTCACCCCAGAAAAATTTCAAGTTTCAACTCAATCAGATCTCAATGTTTACCTTTGCATAGTCTTAAAAGGTTCATCTTGACCAAGGTGGGAAGAGCACTAAAAAGGCATCCAAGTTCACCTCGGCCAAGTTGTTAAAAGCACTAGAACAACCTCAAGATTCATCCCAATCAAGGTGTGAAGAGAACTAGCAAGGGTCTAAAGATTCATCCCAGTCAAGGTATGAAGAGTACAAAAAAAGCTTCAAGATTTATCTCGACCAAAGTGTGAAAAGTACTAGAAGGGCCTTAAGGTTCACTCTAGCCAAGGTGTGAAGAGTACTGAAATACCTCAAAATTCATCTCAGTCAAGATGTAAACAACACCAAAAAGACCTTAAGATTCATCTTAATTTAGGTGTGAAAAGCACCAGATAAAGCCTTAAGATTTAGCACTACTTAGGTGTAAAGAGAGCCATAAAATGCCATAAGGTTCACCCCATTATAGGCTCAAGGTTCACCTTAGCTAAGGTATAAAGAGTACTATAAAGGGCCTTGAGATTCACCTTGACCTAAGCTTATGGTTCACCTTAATCTAGGTGTAAAGAGAACTAAAAAGGCCTTGAACATCACCTCGACTAAAGCTTACGATTCATCTTTACATAGGCGTGGAAAGTGCCCAAAAAGACATCAAGGTTCACTTTATTTTATGTCGAAGTAGAACCTAACAATATCAAGAAACATTTCAAACCTTTCAAAAAGCCTAAGAAACTTGAAGACAATCAAAGGAAACACCATAAGGGATTTTTCAATAAATATACCTCATTGAACACTTTAATGAACTGAATTTACAAAGACATGATACTTTTTGAATTTGCCTCCATTCCTCGGCATAAGAAAGCCTTAAAATTAAGCTTAAAGAGTGTTAAACATAATCAAAGGTGCATGAAGAATGCCCAAAATTGTCATTAAAATTGATTTAAACACTTACTGTGATCATAATACATGAAGAACAACCAATGTTGCTATTAAAGATTAATCTTGTATGAAAAGGCACAAAGCATGGGTAGACAAAATTTCTAGAGATACTCAAGCAATCCCAAACCAAATCGATTAAGCAACTTGAACATTTATGATTCCTTTAGATGGTGTTTGGAAACCAAAACAATATTACACCTTACTCCTCTCACCTCAGCCTTTCCACTTCGTGATAAGCCCAAGCTAGAGAAACTGATCCAAAGTCAAACATTTAAGTTCATTTCAATATCAACTAGGATGACTTAATTGTAGTACATATGTATCTATGTTTTGACAGTTCTGACAAATGACAACTTTATCAAACATGTCATAACTCAAAATACAAACATGTAAAGTTTATCCTAATCTCACTCTTATTAGAAAAGGATTTTCAAAATTTTAAAAGTTAAAATATCTTACCCATATAATTCCAAAGAATAACTGAATTTTTACTTGATTTTCTTATACTCATGAGTCAATCTTACAATATTAAAATGGCAAAATTAGTACCATGATCCTATACTTTTATTTTTATTTTTTATTTTAATTTAATCTTTTAATTTATTTTATTTTATATTGTTCTTGTATTTATTTTTAATTTGGTCTGATTAATTAATTATGATGGTTAAAAATTTTCATAGTTTATAAAAGAATCACAATTTGTGACAGTAAAAAAATAGTCACATATGACAAATAAGACAAAATTAAGATTAAATAAAAAAATAAATGATCAAAATAAAAAATAAAATTAGAGGACTGCTCAAAATATTAACTTTACCTCTATATTTCAGAAGTCACCTATTCATGTGTATTATAATTAAGGCTTTGTTCTTGTAACTCACAGTATAGTACTAGTCGCAAGAATCGCTGTGCATGAAAATAATAGTTGTTTGATTGCATTCTCAATCGCCAAGCATGAAAACAATAGTTGTAATCTGATTACATAATAAAATCTAATTTACCTTTATTTTTTCTTGTTATCTCCAAAATAGTTGTAAACAAAATGCTTTTTATAAGAAACAACATTGTAAGAGCTTGATGAACAATGAGCTCTACCAAGTAACGTTGTCTGATTGTACTTCTCAAGTCTCTTGGAGAAAGAAGCACGATCACGCTTAAAAGGAATAGAATTAGAATCATAATGAGGAAAGTACTTGCAATTTACTACAATATCTCTCTCTAATAAAAATATAGTAACGTGTTGGGAGTTGTGGCTATACTATATTAAACTACATGTGTAGGTTGACATGTTTCAGATCAAGAAATGGAGCACATTGACGATGAATCTATTATACGTAAACACTACTAGTCAGTCAGTCTCTACGTTTAGAGGTTTTAACCAATATAAAAAGAGAAAAAAAAAATCTAAATCTAAAAAATTTGTTGATAATAATATTGATACTAATAACAATAACAATAATAATAATAATAATATTCTCACACAAACTTTCTCTTACATTTTTTTATATTTTTTCTATCATATTATCGATCATATTTTTTTTCCTCTCTCTCTGTGTCTATTTAACACCTCATTTTAAAGAAGTATTAACTGACCTAGGACTATCACATGTTCATAGTCTCGACTAATCACCACAAGATATGTGATCATGTTTTAATTAATAAAAAAGAAAATAAAGCTTTGCCAGATGTTATATGATGATTAGTCAAGACCATTAACAGGTGGTGGTTCTAGATGGCCCAACAATTTCTATCACCTGGATGTGAAAATATATCACTACTGTGATATTAGCCATCAATCATCACATAAGAAACTTCTAGGTACTGTACATGCTAGGAGTAGAATGTGTCTGGTGGATTTGATGTTAATGATCTTGAATATGGACATTCAACCTCCTAAGCCAAATGGAATGGATAGTCATGTGGAACACATCGAACCTCTTTGGAGGCTCATTAGGCACAAAATGCCTTTGCACTTGTTTTACTCGCTTCAACATCCTCAAGTACTGCCTTTGTGAAATGCCCATTAGTATCTTTTTGATGTTGGGAATTTCTTTCACGTCCACTTGAATTGAAAATGATTTCCAATTCAAAACATCACTAAAGGGTGGAACATAGCTATCAGAAATTAGGACAGGCACACATTCTGCAAATATTGCTTCCACTATTCTGGGACTAGCAACTTCATAACCACTTGGGCACAGGCAAAACTTGCTGCTTCTAAGCTTTGTGTAATAAGAAACTCCTTGAGGAAGTTCCTCGTAGACTTGCACATCTTGGTCTTTGTCTTTCCATGCTTTAAGGAGTAAGTGTCTTATATGGCCATGTAGGCGACCTGCAAAGAAAGCAAGGATGGTTCTTTGAGATGGGGGGTACCCTCCTATTAGACCTGTGATTTCTCCTGTTATAAGATTAATCTCAGGAAATGACACATCCTTTGCTGGCTTGAATCCTTCAGAAGTATTTGCGTTGCAAAGAACCCTTATGGCATTGTTGAACAAGTGATCCACGTAGGTAGATGCAATTGGACCCTGTCCAGTGCCCCAAATAGGATTAGAGATGGGATAATGCCTCAACAAAATTTCTGTCACCTTCTTAAATCAATACTTATATTTTTACGCTATTTTCACTTATATATATATTTTTTTGTTTTACTTTATTTTCCATTGCATCTTTTTTTTTTTCCTCTTCTTTTTCTTATATTTCTATTTATCCATTTTCAACTTATTTAATGAATAAATATTTTATTAAAAATTATCTTAAAATAAACTAAATCAAATGTACATTAAATAGAAGGATAAAATTTAGATTAAGTTTCGTATATACTTATTATTTTAAAATTATACAATATATTCTCAATAATGCTATTTAATATTGTTCAGTTGGAGAACTTAATAACATACAATAGTATAAGCAACTTGATATAAATTTTATCCTAAAGCTTAAGACAAACTTGCATGGGTGAGTTATATCTTGTCTTCACTCCATTTGTGTTATATCTTCTAATTAATACAAGGAATTCAATTCTTTTAGAAAAGGGACACATAATTGCTTACCCAATCGTGGCAAGAGAGCATGAAATGATCATGGCCCAGGGATCGATTCCAGAAGGGATGTTTATTGGATATAATTTGTATGTAGTCTTCTACAGTAAGGCCAATGGGATTTATATTGGAGCCATGCACGTATAGATATTCGACCATCATGACCACACTGAAGGGCAGATAATACACAAAAGCTTCATCTGGATCATTAGTACGATAGTACCTCCCCTTTTCCATTTCATTTATGAATCTTCCCTCCGTGGAGTATATGCTTTTGGTTAAACCATTGTGAAACATCGGTGGCTCCCCTTCATCATACACAAAAATCTTGAACACCTTTTCCATCTCTAGGTAACTCCTGTGGACAAATTACTAAAATTATTAGAAAGCAGAATGAGGCGATCAACTAAACTTTTGTGGATGTGTATGCTTAATTTCTTTATAACCGTAATTCCCACTTTTTTTAATAGAATGCTAAAAAACATTTAATAATTCAAATACAAGGTGGTTAATTATCATGCAATAATTCTTTCACGAAAGGAATAAAACCTCCGTTCAATAATAAGGTGGTTATCGTGCATGAGTTTTGATGCAGAAACTTATGCTGGACCCAAAAATATGTACCTATGAAAGGCATTAGCGTTTCTGTAAATTGGACCTTGAGGAACATAGTCTGGATCTTGGAGGGTTGATGTAAAATTTCGAACTTTGCTAGCTTCTCTGATGGAACACCTTGCTTTAGCCAATCTACCTTCAATATTTTTCAACTTGTTGTACTTGTGAGCTCTAAGGTTCCCTTTTTCTTTACCTTTATGCTTAAACTTGGTGTCAAGCTTTTCATCACCCTGAAGACCCACCACCAATAAGACAAAGACAAAGAACCCCCGCCGCAAAAAAAAAATTAAAAAAAAAGGAAGATGAGAAAGTACCCTATAGTTAAAAGGAAAATAAAAAGTTCAATAAAACAGGTTTAGTGTATAGTTCTAACAAGTTGAATTGGAAGGAGATAAATACCTCATTGTTTTCTCTAGATTCATCATGATTTGAAGGAAATGCAGATGTATATGGAGCCTCAACATCATCATATAATGTTGAAACGCTTTTACTTTCTATATCCAAAGGGGAAGTTGGTTCTCCCCTCCAACTCCAAGAAACAACAAATGACGAGAACTTTGAAGCTCGAAGACCACAAGAAACAACAACTAGTGAAGTTATAATAAAGAAGAGTGCCACAATGTGATGATAAGACCAACAAGTAGACCAAGAGAAGCATTTTTTGGAAGCTCTCATCTTAATCTACAATATATTCATCTACTATCACACCTAATTCAGTGTAATGATGTTAAGCCGGAGAAAGAGTGATATGGGGTGTGATGCATTTCTTGGTGAGTAGAGATTCTTTACTGCATATGCCAAGTATTCTTACGTTACCACGAGTAACGTAATATAGGGGGAAAAGAAAAAAAGAGGCCATGTGTGTGGCTTTTAATAGCGGCTAAGTAGTTTGCTTTCATATGCAAGGTTGACATCTTCATATAAGTTGGCATGATAGATGAAAATAAACTTGATAATGCGATTCTCTCGTTAATTTGAATTTCGTGCACTAGTTTTATTCTCCTTCAAGTGGCAACAGTTATTAGTTAACCACTTAATTAATCACGCAGAAGAGGGAATATATTCATGGAAATAAATTTAGATGCGAGTTTGCTTTGCTGTATAAGACGGCAATCTCAAGACACTATCGAACTAAATTTTCTGTATGTGCTATTGTGCTTGTCTCTAGTTTATCAAATTATACCACCTTTATTTATTAATAACGATTCAATTCATTCTTTTATGATTGATAATTATATGTAACCATTGTTCCTTTATCTGAAAATGAAGCCATGCTTGTTAAATTAGTGGTTCATACTTCATACAAAATAATAATAAACTCCACACTGGTAAAGCTGGTAGAAAGAAAGAATGTTAGTAACACATTATTTTTAATATTATTTTAATTATTGGCTAAATATTATATAAAAATAAAAAAATTAAATTAAGAGTAAAAGAATGAAATCTAAATAATTTTTAATGAAGTATTGTCAATAATTAAGAGTGCAATTAAAAAATATGTTGAAATAAAAGATACGAATGTACTAGTGATATAAATTGAATGTCATAAATATTTTTTAATTATGTTAATATGGATATATAATTGCTAATCATCAGGAGACGATTAAATTCATTTAATTGATTCAAGGTTAATAATAGAGCCAGCTCGGATTCGATGCAAACAACATAACATTATAAAATTGAATGAGTAACATGTCAAAACGACAAAACGTGTGCGTGCTAAATGCTATAAACAATGACACTATTAAAATATTGATTATTTTATTTTCGTTGTTTTCATCAACGTAAACCATCTTTTATGCCCGTAGATTTTTGTTTTTATTTTTGTTAAAGCCCTTTCAATTTATTTTTGAATATTTTCTATTGACAAATATTATAGTTAAGATATTTTTTTTATAATTGTAGTAAACTTTTTTTAATCGACTTTTGAGGAAAAAAATTTTAAAATAAAACTTTAGATTTGAGTTTTTATATATATAATAAATTTTTAATGATAAACTCATTCGTACAAATGCGTAACTCAGGTTAAATTCATATCAAATTGAAGAATTAAAAAAAATTATATTTTACTTTTAATTATTTTATTTTATTTTATTTCTTCTTTTCTTAATTATAATTGTTAAAATATTGATTAAAAACGTTTTTTAATTACATAATAATTCATAGTTGAAAAATAGTTAAAAAATTTCTATACTATCAATATATTTTTAATTAAATTCTTTACGCAAATTTTCTGTTGTCAAGACAAAAATGTAATGTTTAATATTAATATGACCATCAAAGATGGTGTTTGTTCCTTAAACGAAAATATTTTACTAAGTCAGATTTAAAAGACAAAAAGTGAAATAAAATTAGGATTTTGTTTACCTTGATTTTTAAAGTTGAGTTTGCATCCATAAATTGAAAGCTCTAATAAAAAATTATATATTTATTATATTAAAATTATAAAAGTATATAAATATTTTTTAATAAAATTTTACTATTATTACTTATTTATTTTGTATTCTAAGAGTTAAGATTAACATTATAAAAAAAAAACAACGTAAGGCCATATTAATTTGTGGGATTACTTTTTGCACCTTTTTCTTTTCCTATTTGTAATTTTTTATTTTTAAATTTATTTTCATAAAGACGCTTATTAATTAATATTAGAGCTAAATATTTTTAAATTAATATAGCAGTGACTAATGATTTAACTTATGCAATTGAATCGATCTACTTGTAATGTCATAATGTGTGTTTTTATCTATATCTATTAATTGTTAGACTTGTTAGTCATTAATAAAAAAATTTATTAATTTTTTTAAAATTTAGAATAATTCTTGTAACTTATTTAGATATTTAAAAATGTTTATATTTCACTTTTAATTATTTTATTTATTTTATTTTATTTCTTATTTTATTAATTATAATTGTTAAAATAATGATTAAAAACATGTTTTTAATTACATAATAATTCAATGTTGAAAAATAGTTTAAAAATTTCTACACCATCAATATATTTTTAATTAAATTCTTTAAGCAATCTTTCTGTTGTCAAGACAAAGATGTAATGTATAACATTAATATGACTATCAAAGATGGTGTTTATTCCTTAAACGAAAATATTTTACTAAGTCAGATTTGAAAAGCAAAAAGTCAAATACAACTTGTATTTATATAATAAAAAAAAATCTTAACTCAAATATCTTTATTATAACTTACTTGTTTTATTAATTTTATATTAAAATATGTCAAAGTTTTTTTTGATATTAGTAATAATAAAATGGATCAACTAACTTCGTTTTAGCTCTTTGAGTTCAACGTATTTTATTTTATTAACGAATTGATCTACTTAAAGATTAAAAGATAAAATACATAAATTAAACAAAAAAGAGTTTTAAAATATAATAAAATTATATATAATTTTTTTAAAAGTTAATTATTATTATTTTAATATTTAACTTGACGAGTTAACCTATTTTATTTTCATCTACTCGTTTTTAAATGTGAATTAAGTAAGCATAAGTTAAATGAGTTGTTTAAATATGAATTAAGTTAGCATCAGTTAAATGAGTTGATAAATTCAAAATTTTAACGTAGTCCCATCATATTTAGTGGGTTTGGTGAGTCAACTCAACAAATTAAACCCACAGTACTAACTTATATTGAGATATACAATATATTTTAAAACTTTATTTCTTTTTTCAAATCATACAACACATATAAAATCTGTCATCATAGATCATATATTATATGTTTACAAATTACTCTTGTTTAGTAAATATTTGAAATTTTAGATCACTTCATAAATTTTAAAATAGATTACATTAATATAGTAAAAATTATTAAGCTATTAACATAAATTACATTATTGTGAAAATCAATTTAAAATAAAATAATTTATGATATGAGCTTCAACAATTATATATGTAAGCATAATAATTAAAAATATTTATAAAGATAAAAAATCTCTATGTATATTATTTTACTCTATTTTATTTACTTGTATTGTTTATCTCTCTTTTTACTAGAAAAACAGTTAGTTGTCTTTGCCATGTATGATGTACATCTCAAAATAGTTCTCAGTTAAATAATTAAAAATTTACATTATGTATATAATTATTTTTGTTATTTTATATACACGCCAAAGTTTTTTAAAACATTATTATATTGTAATTTAACAGATAACATAATTTAAAAAGAAAAGAGCATAAATGATGTGGAGGGTGAGTGAAGAATGAGATAAACCATAAAAGAAGAGGTGGTCGGAATTTCCTTGAAGCTCACCCACCCACCCGTCACTCTCACGGCTCAATCTCAGCCTCAACTTCAAAGGTCCCTTCTTCCTTTCATAAAACTCAACTTTCTAACGTTTACCTCAAAACCAGTCAAAAATAAAAGCATGTAATATGTAATAAATGCCTTCTCTCACCTAACTAGCCTGGTGCCAGTTCTAGCTCCTTCTGCTCCATAATAATTGGAGTGAGCCAAAGTTATCATCTTTTCTCCAAATTCATATCTGGGTATTTCTTGTTTATGCCATTGTTCCACTTTCGCATCAACCCTCATTTTTACTGCTAAAGCTGATTTAGCACTTTTAAGCTATGAACTCTCCTACTCATGTCGCTTCAACACCATCTTCTTCTTCCTCCTACAAGCTTCGTCCTCCTCCATGCCTCAGTCGCGCTTCTTGTAACCTCAAGTGTCCTCTGTAAGTGTTCCATTTTTACCACTATTATGATGTTCTTGCTCGTTTGTGGTTTTGGCCAGAACTTTGCATTTCTCAGGATTTTTTTTTTTTTTGGGAATTCGACCAATATTTTTAGTAAAATGAGGTCAATTAATCGGAAACACCGTAAAAGATGTTATATTTGTAAAATCTGAGTTATTGGCGCTGGCAATTAAAAGTTAGTTTTTCAGGCAATGTTTCTATTCATTGAGCTACATTTTATAAGAATGGCATTTTGGGGTTGGATATACAGGTCTGTGAGATTATATTACATCCGCAGAATCAAGTATTCTTTGTTCCCTCTCAAGTATAATTATATTGTCCATGACCATAAATTTTGCATTTTGAGGGGTCATGAGCATGATTGAAATTCTTGTTGCATTTTTTGTTTTTTTAATCTTTCCTTAAGCTGTGAACTGCTAGATTTTCTTCCAAATGTTTTATGTGTATAATTTATGTCTTGTTGTGCATCCAAGCCTAATTTTTCTTTGTATTACTTGTGCTAATGTAGAAACTCTTTCACTTCCTTGTTTGAAACATTTGACAATTGCAGTTTTATCGTTTTGCAAAAAGGATATGATTTAACTTCTCATATAAAATTGTACCTTCTTTGAGTCAAATATTTTGTTACCAGATGTCGAGGTTAGTAGAATTTCCCAAAGTTTATAACGTTTTACTTTCATAGGTTGTTGCCGCAAACAATCTGTAACTCTCAAAAGAAGTACCGCTGCTTTGGAGCTCATGTGGAAGCTTCTAATTCTATTAACACTAATCCCTTAAAAAATTACGTATCAGCTAGATGTTCTCCATGGTGGTCTGAAGCACAACCGCTGGCTTCTAACCAATCACTCAACAAACAGTTGTTCTCAGCAGGAGCTTTAGTAAATCCAACAACTCAAGATGTTTCTGATACAGCTCTTATTGGTGATGATAAGGTTGGCGTGTTATTGTTAAACCTTGGAGGTCCAGAGACACTAGAAGATGTCCAGCCTTTTTTGTTTAACCTTTTTGCTGACCCGGTATTACTCTAGGTTTTGCACACTTTGCATTTGAGCTGTCATTTTTTCTCCCTCTGTTCCTTTAGGTTGAGATTAACCTAAAACTATGAAGTCCTTATTGCTTGATATCAGTTATATTTTATGTACAAACATGCAGGATATAATACGATTGCCAAGGATATTTAGTTTTCTTCAAAAGCCATTGGCCCAATTTGTGTCTGTTGTAAGGGCCCCTAAAAGCAAAGAAGGCTATGCTTCAATTGGTGGTGGCTCTCCTCTTAGACGTATGACTGATGCGCAGGCATGACACTTCCTGTTAACATTTTTCTTTTTCCATTATGACATATTTTATGCTCAAATTTGTACATGGGCACAAAGACTTCAAATTCAATTTTCAGAAGAACTAATTATGTTTGAGAGGGAGTTGTTCTTACCTCCGTATATGTACCTGTTGTCTCTTGCCAATTTTCTCAAGTTTAAATTCTATAAAGTTAAAGAATAGCACATGAGCAAAGCAAAATTTGCAAAGAGCTTTCAAGAAGTCAGCGTTGTGTAATTTTAATTCGTGTAGCAATAGTGGTTATCACTATTTTTATGCGCTTACTGTTACAGCAGAAATATTTCTTTCAGTAGGGAACTCAAAGTTACCACTTCCCATCTTGTACAATTTTATATTGTCACCTTGTCGTTGTTATTTTTCCAACCATTTCAATCTGACTTTGAAATTGTCATTAATCTGTTGAGATTTTAGTTCAACTAAGTTATATTTTTGGCTGATGATTTTAAAAACAATATAAGATTATGGGATACTTAACATTTTCATTCCTATATGTACTTTTGTTTGACTCTATTATTGTCCTGGTCCTAGCACAACTAATGAATTTCTGCACAGGCTGAAGAGTTGATGAAATCTCTTTGGGCAAAGAATGTCCCGGCTAAAGTGTATGTTGGCATGCGATACTGGCATCCATTCACTGAAGAAGCTATTGAGCAGGTATTTGATCATTTCATTCTTAGTTCAGAATGTGAACATGATTAAGATTATGCCATTGTTCTACAATTTGAGTTAAAAAAATTTAGCTGGTTGATTCATATTGACATATTCTGGGAAAAAGCTTGTAAAAAATTCAAAATAAGGGTTCCTTGAAGCAATTGTCTTTGATCTGCACTATTGGGTAGCTTGCATGTGCTCCTTCAATCCTTATGAAGATATTTCTTGGCCAATACCCTTTATATATCTGAATTCTAAACTTAATTTTAATTAAAATTGTTAGTAGTTACCTTAATATTTTGCAGTCTCTTTATACTGTACTAGCAAGCACACACTGTTCATATGAAAGACTTTGAGCTCTGATTGTTAGAAACTATTGCCATTCTAAAGGTATAAAACTTGTACACATTGGGACTGTTGAATATTGCGGTGTTATAAATTCAGAGTTATGGAGTATAACTGTTTATTTGAGTCCTCTTCCTTTGAACTGACTAATACCTTAGTGTAATAATATATCAAATGCATTTGAAAAATGAATTACTATGGTTTAAAATAGTAATGCATGTATGAAAACAAATCATGTTTATAGTATTTAAAAAAAAAAAAATCTCAGGGTAAGATTTTATTAAAATGATGAAAAATCAGGAATACTTAAAATCATAGCTTGAAAGTATAACTTTTACTACTATATTTATCCTTTATCTTTTTGTGATTTCTTGCAAACCTCATTTATCATTAATTTATCCTTTACAATATGTTAAAATTTATCATAGCTTGAAAGTATAACTTTTTGTGTAGATTAAAAGGGATGGAATTACAAAGCTTGTTATTCTTCCACTTTATCCACAGTTTTCAATATCAACCAGTGGCTCAAGCCTACGTTTACTGGAGAATATATTCCGGTGATTATATAAAAATATTTTCATCACATTTATTATACTTTAAATATATAAACTATCTAATATTCTGTTATACTGTGAAATGTTATTTGTTCTTCAGAGAGGATGAATATCTAGTCAACATGCAGCACACTGTAATACCTTCGTGGTATCAACGTGAAGGATACATTAAGGCTATGGCAAATTTAATTGAAAAAGAGCTGAAGGGTTTCAAACGCCCTGAGGAGGTACAACATTATTTTAGTGTTTTCAAGTTTAATGACTTGGAAAAGAAAAAGCATGGTTCCTTGACATTTTTCTATTATCATTGTGATATTTATAATCAAATCTTGACAGCATTATTAATAATTGATAATAGGAAGAGTAACTTGCGAGATTTCATTAACCCTTACGGGTATTTGGGATGCTGTGAAATACCATTATGCTTTCTTTTTTTTTTGGTTAAAATTGCTGTGTCAACAATTCTGGTTATTACTTTTTATCTTTGTTTATAGCATTGTTGAGAAATTTGTGTTCCTAAAATTGAGTTACTCTTGCTTCTTTGTTTGTGTTAGCTTGTGAGTCCAAGTAATTCCTGCTCATTGCAGGTCATGATATTCTTTAGTGCACATGGGGTACCTCTTGCTTATGTGGAAGAGGCTGGTGATCCATACAAGGCTGAGATGGAGGAATGTGTGGATTTGATAATGGAAGAACTTGAGGCACGAAAGATAAATAATTCCTTCACTCTAGCTTATCAGGTAACTACTTTTTGTTTCTTCCCACAATTGATTCTCCAGTAGTTCTGATTGCAAGGCTCTGAGAAATAATTCACAATGAATCTGTTAGAAACTAAAAAAGAAAAATTATAATAATAAGAGGATTTTATTATTTTATCATACCAAATACATGAGTATAATTTACTATTTATAATAGTGATATTATAACCTTTAACGTACATTAAAGAATAATTGTTCTGTAAATGTCAAGTGGTTACAAACAAAAAATTATTGCCCGTAACTAAAGAATTATGGTCTTTGAACTCACACTAACACACATTTACTCACAACTTTTCAAACACTGCTTTTAGACATGTCTTTTTCTGGATTTCTAACTATTGACTGTAATTATTGTTACAGAGTAGAGTTGGACCGGTGGAATGGTTAAAACCCTATACAGACGAGACAATAGTTGAGCTTGGAAAAAAGGGTGTGAAAAGTTTGTTGGCTGTTCCTATTAGGTAAATATAATAGTTTTAGTTTACTCCTATTTATCTATATCATCTCCACCTCTTTTCTTTATCTCTTTCTCAGATGTGGACATTGTTAACTTGTGCTTAATTCACAGCTTTGTCAGCGAACATATTGAAACTCTAGAAGAAATTGATGTGGAATACAAAGAATTGGCTCTAGAATCTGGCATAGAAAAGTGGGGCCGTGTTCCTGCTTTAGGATGTGAACCCACATTCATTTCTGATTTGGCAGATGCTGTTATTGAGAGTCTCCCATATGTTGGTGCCATGGCAGCTTCAAACCTTGAAGCTCGGCAGGTATTCTTGAACTCCTCCATAAATTTATACATATTCTAGCTGGAAATGTTTCATTCAGTGTTCTTTTTAAAACACTTCCATATAGATAGTGTATTTGGTAGTTATATACTTGTGTCTTGTGATCTAATTGGAAGCTTGTGCACTTTGTCAGTCTCTGGTTCCACTTGGCAGCGTAGAAGAGTTATTGGCAACATATGATTCACAACGCAGGGAGTTACCTCCTCCAGTTATAGTGTGGGAATGGGGTTGGACAAAAAGTGCTGAAACTTGGAATGGAAGAGTAGCTATGCTGGCTGTGCTGCTTCTTTTGTTTCTACAAGTCACGGCAGGTGAGGAGGGTCTTCTGCACCAGTGGGGAACATGGCCCTCTATTAGGTGAATGAATCACTCACCTCATGCCCTCTAAGATAGAGGATTTTAGTTTGAGTTCAATTTTGATCCTTTGTCAGTATATAGTTGTTTTATACTATGATTAATCATGTCCTTGCGCGTAATTTTAAAATTTTGACTTTTCAAGTTGTTAGGATTGTCTACTAAGTTCATTTTATAATGTGTTGATGCATGACTAGATCAGTGTAAAAAACTTGACAATGGATCAAAATTTCAGTTTTGCTTGTACATGCATAATGTGAGCATCACATGCTACTAAAAATTCTATGGCATGTACTAGGGAGCTCTCAAGTCTAGTTTTAGAGACTTCATTTGTGGATGGAAACGTGAGAAAGAATTTGAATGCTATTCAGAATGTTATTGTATGTATTTAAACTACAAATCTTTGTTGATTGGTATATGAGAGTTCGAAAACCATTCGGCTGTTTTAGCTGAAAAGGAGTTAGAGAGGCAATAACGAGTTTATCAGACACTGACAAGTTTACTATTTTGTTGATCAAAAACCACACACAACTTCGGATGAAATTTAAAATGGGTAGGAAAGAAATATTATTTTTGTCCTTTTTATAAGAAATAAATAACTATTTGATTAACACTAACAAAATATAGTTATATGTCATAAATGGTCAAATTGGTAACTGAAAGCAATTGCATTTTTGTCTCCCTTACTTACAGAGTTGAGATCAATTTTAATCCCTCAATTTTCAATGGTGCAATTTTAGTTCTATTTTTCTTTTAAATTGAGCATATTTTAGTCGCATAAGATGGTGTTGTCAAGGTGTTTGAGGTCATGAAAGGAATCAGGGAAGCAATTAATGGTTTCGAGGAGAGGCTCTAGTGTGGAGATCTAAATTTTGCTAAAATGAACTAAAATTGTCGCTAATTAAAAATTGGAAAATTAAAATCAAATAACTCTATAGACAAAGGCAATTAAGTCTTAAATGAATAATATATTCACTTGTGTAAGTGTCTTAACAATATAAATCTCATATAAATACTAGTATGAAAAAATTAACAAATAATGCATTTAAAAATAAATTATTTGTTTTATTGAAAAAATAACGATAATTATTTTTTATAAAGAGTTAAAAGAAGTGGGAACTTTTTCTTTTACTTATTTGGATAAATGAAAAAAGAATAAAAAAAAAGTAGATAAGTTATAGCAAAAAAATTATAATACCAAAAAAATTATTTAATAAAAAATAAACCTTTTAATATAATATTTTTATAATACTTTAATTTTAACTTTTTTTGTTTTATTATATTATCTTAAAAATTATTTCATTATAGTAAACTAAAAGAAAAAAGAAAAGTCTCTTGCTCTCGTACCCATTTTCAGGGCAACATTGGTGAGAATTTTTTTATATGGGTTTCATGTTTTTTTCAAGCAATAGAAGACAAAGTTAATAAACAAATTAAAATAGAATTTTTCACATTAAAATTACTGCACTAGATTTCTTTTCATGCATCTGATCCATTAGATAGATATAGATAAAATAATAGAGCATGATCAAATATCATTTTCTAAGATATTCTATCTCTTATGTTTAGTAAACCAACAAGATATAATAAGTTTATCACGTAGTCTTATTATATTCTTCTCTCTGGTGTAAATCTTATCCACTGAAAAAAAGGTTAGAAATAGACTTAGATAAAATAATATAATATACCTAATTTATTATTTTAGTATATTTAGATAAAAAGAACGAGTATATTATAATTTTATCCAATTCTTTTCTAATTCTCATCTTTTTTATTTTCATCCTATCATATATATCAAACAAATTATAAAGCAAATTTTTATCTCCATTTTGTAATTACAAAATTTATTCTAATTTTGAGTGCTATTTTGTTTATTTTTTACATTTTCTCTTTCTTCACTTACCATATATATTATTCAACTATCATAAAGCTAAATAAATAAATATTATAATTGTATTTTCACCTCATAATTATAATATAAAAAATAAAAAGTATTATAAAATATTCAATTATAGTTTAATAATTAAAAATCCTTCTATAATGTAATAACAATATTTTATTAAATTAATAATGAATGCAATTTTTTTATTGTTATATATAATATATTATAATTATTCTATTATGACTTTTAAAAAATTTATAATTTATGTTTTTATAAATCTAATCAGCAACCAATTAATTATTATTTTCTTATTATATATATTTTAATGTGATATATGTGTATTAAAATAAAATTATCTCTTATATATATCTCGTTTTCTGCTCTCTCTTCAACAACTATGTTTAATGCAGTTTTTATTATATAGTCAATATCAACAATTGAGTACAAATAAAATAATTCATTATTGAATTTTTTTAATAAAAATACAAATAAAACTTATGTTTTGTTTTTATATTAATTATTATTATGAATAAAATTAGTTTTATTGGTTCGTGCATAATAATAAAAAAAAAGTGTTGATGAATCCATAACTAAAAATATTCAACGCCCAAAATTGAGACTTTTGCACTTTTCAATATTTTGGATGAATCCAATAAAATTAACTAAGAACTCTGTTTCAATTAAGAAAATGAAGGAATTTTATTTCATGCAACTTTTGATTTATTTGATATGTTTTTTTATCATTAAATATTATCGTAGAAATTACATCGAAAACAAAATTAACATTATTAACGAATTTTAAATAATAAAAATTGATTTATAATTATTTATTTATATAGAGATCAAATTGTACATTTTTTTAGTATAAAGACTAAATTAAAAAAAATATCAAAATATAGAGATTAAATATATAATTTAACTTCTTTTTTTTTAAAGTAACAATTTCGCACAACTTATGTTGTAATTTTGGTGACAAAAATGGTCTAACATTCATTATCTTACATTTCAGATTAACTCCATAAATTGAGCATACGTTTTAAAGTAAATTCCAAAAATGAAATTAATGTAGATACATATTTTAATTATATTCAATGATTTAAAATTAATTTTACCCAACTTTAAATTGAACAAATACTTGTTTATTATGCTAATTAAACAAATAGAAAAGGCAGATGTTGCTTCATTTCTAGGTTTGGGCATGACAAACTTCAAGGATGACTTATATTACAACTCACAGATGACTTCTAATGTTTTTTAAAGGTTACAGTATAATGCGATTTTTGCAATGTAGTATTGTTTTAAGCTTCTGCACAAGTTCAATTGAAAAAAAAGTAGAGTTGGGTAATGCTTAAGTTGCTGCTTTACTAACTCTTGGAGTAATATAGGATAATAAGGGTAACCAGGAACAATGGTGGAAAAGAAATGAAATAATAATAATGTAACAGGAGGCATCTTATCTCCCTTTTCTTATTCATTGCCTGAACATTAATGGGGTATGTATTGTATTGGGAGGAAAATTAACTTCCAGCTAGTTGAGAGAGTTGCATGAATTCGCTCTAATTTTATTTTGTTTTTCAAAAGTAGACACACAAACATGTAAAAGTGGTCTTTTGAAGGTTTTAGAATGTATGGAGTTGGAAGAAAATATGTAGCTTATAGAAATTAAGGAAAGAAAAAACAGTCAGTTATAACACTTGCACCTGAAACTTACAAACCTCAGGTCATAGCATATGATTTAAGAGAACTTAATTAATTACAAGTAATTTATGAACTGAAGCATAGCATATGTGTTTTCTTTTTTTCCCCTCTATACTCACCAAGACTAAAACAGAAATCACCAACTTCTCACAACTTAAATAATAGCAACTCCAAAGTTAGACAAAAATGAAAAGAAAAGCTAAAAGAGGTGCTGTTGTTAAAGAGATCAATCACTAAAATCAAAGCTTCCACTATGAGAGCTGCTTCCATTACGACTATGTAAGGAGAGTCCTCTCATGTGGCCAGACAAATTAGAACCATCCTTGTTTTCCTGAAAAAATCTCTCTCTCTCAACATGCTTTGCAGGTGGTGGTGGAATTGCCACATGATGAGGAGCCTCCCCATTATGTTTTGGACGCAGAGGTGCGATCACTACAGGTGGAGAGCGAGTATCGGCATCACGAGGTGGTGGCTCTAACGAAAGTGGTCGTATCAATGGTCGATTGAGTCTCTCTCCAAGTAAACCCATGCGAGCAATGTCAGTTTCAGTCTCCTCATCTTCTGGCCTTGCACAAGCCTTTCCCTTGCGTAATCTGCAAGGTATTAATCATACAGAGATGAAAGAATGTTGAAAACCAGTGTTATCCTTCATTACAAAATGGAAATACATGGAGCTTCAAGAACAGGCAAGGCACCTTTGAATTAACTGTTCAGGTTCCTCTTCCTCCTCTGCTTCTTCGTGATCAAATCGAATAGCAGCCGTTGTAGCTCTGCCAGCAAGAAGGTCATCATGTCTTGCAAGAACTTTCTGAAGTTGCTCATTCAATTCAATTGCTCGAGAAACTATCCTCTCATCTCTACATAAGACCCATACAAAACCAGTAACAAATACATGTGTTGTGCATAAGCAAATACATAAATATTAGGGAAAATTCCATGAAAAAAAGATATTGCTAAAAGTAATTACAGTTTAGGAATAATTAACCATTCAACTAGTCAAATATGTTCAAATAATGAGAATCCATTCATTAACTTATTTGTTCAAGAAACTAGAATGTTTTTATCACTAGTACAGATTTTGTGGTTTTAATTTTCCCATATATATATATATATATATATACTAATAAACAAAGCCTAGATAGGATTTCTTCTTTTTTTTTTTTTGGGTTTACAAAGTTTTATAGGATAAAAGTAAAGCAAAATTCTTACTACCAACAGACTAGAAGTAAAGGCATAGCCATCAATCCTCTGAACCATCTCAAGTTCACAAAGCAGAAAGAAGGAGATTGTATAGACAATAAGGAGAGACGAGAAATTTGAAGTCCTTACCGAGAAGTCATCACAAGATGCACTACCCTTTGCTTTTGAAAGGAACATTGTTCTACAAGGTCAAGGGTGAATTCATCCCTTGCTCCCTAGAAAATAAAACATTTTTTTCGGCAAAAGTCAGAAGGCAACTATTCACAGATTCAATAACTAACTCTCAGGACTCACTTGAGGATTTTGAGCATCAACAGCATCAAGGACCTCTTTCAGTACTTCTAATGCATTGCTAGCCTTTTGAATAATGCTGCAAAATACAAGCTGATGCAAATGATGATTTGAACAAATAATTTCAGAAAGAATTTATCATAAAAAACAAATCCACCCAAAAATAGGTTTTGAAACTATCTCTTATCATTCACTAAATTAGACCGAAAACAAATTATATTAGGCTGAATCTTCTTATCCCAGTTTCCATCCACTAACTAGGCAAATAATTCTCCTTACCATAATAAATATTTCAATAGTCATCTAGAAAAAGGGTCTCAACAGATCCAGTCAATCACAAGTACTCAAAAACTGAAAAGCAAAAGTCACCTTGATTCGGGGACAGTCTGGGGTTCTGCTTGCGGAGCAACTGCTTCATGTCGAGGTGAGGCCTGCTCCCTGTTTGGTACATCATTAGTCCTACTAGGTTGTGAACTAGGATGATTTGATTGGACCAATTGGTCCCTTTGAGGAAACTGCACTCCTGCACTCTGTAAAATGTATAAACCCAATGTCATGACTTTGATTTTAGTATTGGCATTCAAAGGGCATATATTGTTATTGAAAAAGACAACTATCCCTGCAACCAATTTTCTTGGCAACAACCCCTTGAATTATGTACAAAGGAGTACGAAAGTGATAGCTGTCAATAATTTTGGCAACAAATGTTACAGAGAAGTTTATTAGTAACATGAGGGCCAGCAAATACTTAATACCCAGCATATTTGCAGATCATCCATGGACTTAGCTCTAATATAGTATTACAATCATCATTACCTTAAGTTAGCACTTAGCACCATATACTCCTTCCAGTAAGCAATTAAAGATTCAATAGAAGTCAAATTGAATTCTGAGTGCTATATAGCCTCTTCTACTTCTAAAATCTTTTAATTTAAATAACCTCACTCTTTCTTTCTCTGCCAATACAACCGCCTACCACCTACTAATAGTTAAATGAATCCATATCAAACCATATGAATATCCCATGGATTTGCACCTACCACCAAATCATAATATGCATTATAATAGTGTGGAAACTTTCCAGATGCACCACCAAGGGATGTTTGTGTAGCATCTAGTAGGAGAAATATCCGCTCCCTCACAGGCAAATCAGACTGCAACCAAAGAAACAGAGAAATAAAAAATTGAGGTTAAGAAAAGCTGATAGTGCAAAATAACAAAAGTCTGTGGAGAAAACTCACCTTTTTCTTCACAATTTTCACAAGAATCGGAAGAATTCCAGTATCAATCACCTGCTCATGAATATGCTCTCCAATATTGTTCATCAACATTTCCAGCAACTAGAAAATCAATAGATCAAAGATGACTAGTAGAACACTACAGAACAGGAAAGCAATGAAAATATTCAACACAAAAAAGTCAACTAGCCAAGCTTCTCTGTATCAGATACAGTGAAAACTGTCTCTTTACATTAGCTTTTCAGTATAGGTAAAACTATTAGAAATTCACATGATAAATTATGAGTAAGCAAGTTCACAGTAAGGACATTATACTCACCATGACAGCATAAAGTTGAGTATTGGGGTGTTTGCTTCCTAGTCTCTTTTTGATAACTTTAACAGCATCTCTAGCTTGCCTGCATATTCAAAAGATATGATAGTTAAAAACAGTAACCCTGCTTGGCTTATCCTGACAATCTGACACGATAATGAGTTCATCTATGTTCATAATCAGGTGAAGAAAGCCAAGCCAGGAATAGGAGTGAACAAGAACTGTGAAGAACATAAATTGAATTACAAATTAAGATCTCATTTGGATTTGATTATTTCTTAAGATTTAAACTTTCTTTTAAAATGCTATCCTGGTAAGATCTTGATTATAAGCTGTTTTGAAAAAAGATAAGCTAATCCAACCACAGACTATGTATGTCACGCACCAGATATCAGTCATTTATCAACTACTTGAAGAGTTATAACTTTTCCTTTTGAAAAAGAAAACAAATTTCCAAATAAAAAAGGTTTGGCTAAAATGAAAAAAATCTTATTTGCAGGAACCCATCAATCAATTTCAGCAAAAAGAAAGAAAAGCTATCGTTCATCACAAATATCTTCCGATAATGAAAAACATAATTAGCTGCTAGACATAGCTCTAGTGACAAGGGTAGAGATCATAGATTCGATTCAGACATGGAGAAAAGAAAAAGCACGCAAACATTTACAAAGTGTCATAATCAAAATCTAAAACATAAAAAGCTATTCATAAACAAAATTAAATAAGTTTAGTTTCATGTGATACAATCCTACAATTGGCATCAACAATTCATTTCCCAACGTTTAAGGATATTGATACATCAGAAAGTAACACCGAACTAGAGATGCAAGCTTTGTGTGTACCTTTTATCATGAGCAACTAACTCACAGATTTCAATATTTTTTGTCCAATCAGTTTCAGCCAGTTTTTCGCTTGTTGCAGCATTGACTAGCTCAGCTGCCATCTTTTTGTAGAAAAGGATCTAAAAATTAAATAGCATATAAAATGTTAAGGATATTTCAGAAGTGGAAGCAAACATGCAACAAGAAGTTAAAAACTAAAATTAAATTCAGTGGTTTATCAACTTCCACTAGAGAGAAACAAAGCCTTCTTGATAGTTCATCCAACAAAAGGCACAAGTACAATCAAGGTTTACATATAGTTACAAAAATAAAGACAAAAACTATATAATAAAAGGATAACTTTAAATAATAAATAACGAAATTTGATGATCAAACTGAAAACAAACTCTTTCTCTGTATGATTAACATGAAGAAAGACCAAGAAAACCATAGGCAAAACCATGAAGAAGGATTTAGAGGTCAATGGTTAGCTTGTAGATATATATTTACAATGATGTTCTTTGATCCAAGTAACCAACCCCACCTAATGAAAAAAAGATTGGTTTGTTGTTGTTGTTGTTGTTGTTGTTGTATGAATAGCATGATAAAATGTAAATCATCTCCTCAGAGTTTTGGGAAGCTAAGCCATTGTCACACATAGTTTTAGTTATCACCTTTGACTGATAACCATCATATATAATTTCTGCAAGGAAGTGGATATGGCACTAGCAAAACCACATACAAAAAGGTTTCAATCACGACACTCATAATCCGTAATATCAAATCACCTTCCAGTAAATTGACCTCAATCCAATGTGAAAAATGGCATCATGTTGCAGTAGCAATCGAAATCTGAACGGTAAAGATGAACTACCCTGCTACAGAAAAAATCAAAGGCCAAAAATTCAGCATATAAGACTCAATTTCAGTATCATTACAAAGAAAATGCATTAAATAAATTAAGCCAAAATTACAATCAGTCCGACCAGAAGTTAAATGGGTACTTCATAAAAAGAAGTATAACCCAGGAGGAGCAAAACAAACGAACACGCTGAGATGATACAATGAAAAATGTGGAGTTAAAATTGTTGCACATTGCCCAGTACTTTCTTTCCTCATAAGGAAGGATAAACATGAAGGGTATCATAATTAAGCTCAAAAAACCTGAATTGCTTTAACCTCTAAACTGAATCATGCTTTCAATTGCTCTCAGATCTAAGCTAGACACATCAACAAAACCCAGAGCCACAAGAGACACAATTCAAAAACAGAAAAGTAAAAACCTTTAAAAAATCAAAACTTTGGCGAGTTTGATCTCTTGGGAGTGAGAATTAGTACCTGTGAAGACGGAAACCACGATAGAGATTACGAGGAAGAAGCCAAGAAAACACTGATAGGCCCTAAAGAGCTTCAGCATTTCAATTAACGGAAGATCAATTGCCAATTTTCTTGCTTTTTCTCTTTTTCTTAACTTTAACCTTTTTTGGCATATGATGATTGTGAAATTGGCAAGTGGGGAACTGAGTATTTTAAGGTTGTGGACAAATTGTTGTTTTGCAGAGAAAAAGATAATGGTATATTGGGAGGGTTTGCTAGTGTATAGTTGTTGTTGTTATGTGAGAAATTAAATAAAAAATAAAATTATTACAGGAATTGAAAATGGTTAGAAAGAGAATCTAAGGTTGGCTGTTACGGTTTTCTTCTTTAGAGAGACGGCACCGCCATTAGGGCTGTCTGTCCCAAAAGCTAATGCTTCTTTTCCAATGAATGACTCCAATTGCTAACATCAACCTTTGTTCATCCTTTCTCTTCATGCTTCTTCCCTCCTTAATTGACACGTGTCCCTTAGTTTTAAGTGTGCCTTCACTTCTTCTATTTCATTTTCTTCCCATGATTTACATTTTATTTAATTATTTCTTTAAAAAATAAACCCTTCAACCTTTTACTTTTATCAATTATCTTTATGTATTTAATTATTAAATAAAGAAATAGTTAAATATTTTATATTTTTAAGATAATAAATATATAAACTTTTATTTAATATTTACTTTAAAAAATTATAAGTAAAAAAGTAAATAATAAATAATTTATTTTAAATTATAATTTTTATAATTATTATATATAATATAATAAATAACATGATAAATAATAGAATAGAATAGAAAGAAAAATATTAAGCAAAATAAAATAAAATAATTGAAAGTATTGCATATGTATATGAAAATAAGTAATGCTTTTTAATTATGTTTTCATAATTTATTTCTATGATTAAAATTGTAGGGAAGATATGATGTTTTATTTTTAAGTAAAATAATGTCCAGCTAAAAAAATATTTATAATAAAAATTACATTTACCTTGTTTTAAAGAGATAAATGAAAATTCAAATCTTTAACATTTATCAAATATAGGTGTTAATGATTTAAGTAAATAAAAGTTACATTTAAGACAAAAATTTAAGATGTTTTTTTTCTTAAGAGAGATTCTTTCTTCATTCATTGGTATTTAATTGAAAGAAAAGGATTAGCTAAATTTGAAGAACATTTCTTTAAATACATATGACAATTACATGAGTTACAGTCATTGAAATTGCATGAGAAGAGAGGGGAAGTTATCACAACTGAGGAAAAGAAAAACATAATACAGTGTATTGGGTGATTCATATGAAAGGGAAGGGTCAATGGGCACACATGATTATGCTTCGCTGGACGCAGATTCTGGTCTATGCTGGTCCACGTGTCACACACTCATTCTTACTTTCTCATCTCGTGTCCACTAACATGCCACTACGTAAGCAAGGAAACAGAACCCAAGTCAGCCATTGCTCTTGGAGATGAAGCTGAAGCCAAGCTAATATAGATTTGGGTTCTCGTGAAGGAAAATATTTTATACCTTTTTTTAGGTATTTTTTGTGTTTTTAATAATTAAAGCTCAAATTTTATTTTGTAATTTGTGACTGTAATAATATTAAATAAAAACATTTATTAAAAATAAAATTATAATTTTAATTAATAAATAAAAATAATAATATTTAATAAATATTTTGTTATAATATACGGTTGTTTGAAGTACAATTACTTTAAGTTAAAGTGATAACTTTAAATTAATGATAATATTAAACTAATTTTTAAAATTTTATACAATATTACATAGGACAAAAAAGTTATAACATTTAATAGTATTAATGTACTAAATTGCATTAAGTTTTATAATTTTTAATAAATAATTATTATATGTAATTTATTATCATGAATAATATTATACAAGATAATAAAAAATTATTAAAAAGCATATAAAATTACTAAAAATTCAATTATTAATTTGTAACTAATATTGATTACTTTATATTTCATTCTCTTAAACACAGTCATATACTGGCAATAAAAAAAAAAGACATTCCTAACTTATTCAATGATTTAAAAAATATATATATCAATCATATTATACAATAATTTTCATGAAACAATTGGTACTTTGCTATTTAATTCTTGTTATAAATAATTTTAATAAAAATTATAAATAAATAAATAAATATTATATTTATGAGTAACAAATGAATTTTTTTTGCACATTACACATATTATTAAATTAAAAACTTAATTGCATTACCTTTTTTAAATATATAAATGAGTAAATATTGTTATTAATAACAAATATCATATTATATTAAATAAAAATAAATTAAGAAAATAAAATAAATTTTTTAAATTACAAAAGTTTAAATTTTAAATAAAGATTACATTTTAAAAAATATATACTCAATGTAATAAAAGTTATGTAACAAAATGAAAATACATTTATACTCTGTAAAACATATACATTTATGTTAAATACGATAAATGACATGTGAGTTTTAGACTTCATGTAATTTGTTAAAATATAAAAAATAACAACAAATAAAAAATAGTTTATTTTATTCTAAAAATAATTTAAGGAGTAGATAAAATTAATTTAAGAAACAATACAAAATACTAAGTTGTACTATCTACTAAACATGTAAGTTAATGTTCAGCTTTAGTTAAAAGAAAAAAAAGATCATGAGAAAAATGTTATTTTAACACTTCCATACGAACCATCATATGTCTTCTTAAAAAAAAAAAAAATACTCTGATGTAAAATATGAAAAAATAAATAAACAAAAGCAAATGTAATAACAAATAAATATATAATGAAAGTATTCAAATAAATTGTTCAAATATTATAACTCTTAAATTAGTTTTAGTTGGCTTTGAAAAAGCGTTAAAAAAATTGTAAATGGAAATCCACCTATAATGTGAAACCAAACACTCTTAAGTAAAACAAAACAGAAAAAAAAAAAAAAACCTTTGTAATTTGTATGAAATAAATTTCAATAATATATTTTTTTTCTTAAAATAGCAATACGTGATTATTCTTTCATTGATTTTTTTTAAAATAAAAAAGAAGTTATCAAACAAGAAAACTATAAAAAAAAATAGGTAACTTAGGAGTACCAAAATTTTACTCTATTTGTAGATAAGATAAAAAAAGCAAATTTTAAAATTAACTGACATCATTCAAATAATGAAAAATGACACAAGCTTTACCGTCGTTACAATTGAGTTTGCTTAACATCCAAATGATAAAATTATATAACATAAAATATTAGGATAATAAAATTTAAGCTTTTTTTATCTAAATAATACATTTTTAAAAACTAATTTCTAAAATAATATTTTTTGCTATGTTAGTACAAGTATCGACCATGCATCAATGTTAGTATTTTTTTTTTATTATTTAATAGACTATCAAACACCTTAAGCTGATACACATCTGTTGTTCGACACATGTTGTGATCACACTAGTATCAAACATAAGGAGATGATACCACTGTCAATGGTCAAAGGACGTCAGTTGTATCGTTCTAAGGAGATCATACTGTTCTTGTACTAACAAATAGTTCATAACTTTATATTCCGTATGTGTGCATTTGTTTTGTTCTTTTTTGGGTCTCTTGATCTCAGTAAAACCCTTGAATACCTTCACCAATCTCTTCCACATTATTACACTGTGAGGCACTCCCACGAAAGAACAATTTGTAACAGCAAATGATGCTTGACTAGACACCAGTTCAAAGTCCATGAAAGAATGATTCTACCCCTCTAATAGCAACATGTTACTTGTATTATATGATTTGAAAAAAAAGATTAATAAAAGAGATGAAGGATGGAAATTGACATTCAGTATAGAACTTTCATAGCTATGAAATCTAGTTTTCTCTCCTTAATGGGCGAAACTAAACGTGAAATCAAGATTTATAGTTTAAATTTTGTGAAACCATTAAAGTTACTACAATTTGTCAGATGTATCTAATAACTTTAAAAGAAAATAATAAAAGAGAAATAATATTTTTATTCGACTTTTTGAAGGTATATGTTATTCATATCATAAATGTAATTTCTTTTGCAAGACATATTCAAGGGCTTTCAATGTAATTGTGACGTGAAAGTAGTGAAGAGAGTTTCATTCTTCATGCAAGTCATTAAAAGTCAATAATGACACAACCTTTCTTGCCTTTTTTTATGTTAGATGATTAATCATACAATGTGTTTCACTGTAGTTCTTTCCAAAGAAGGTTGGTACCCCAAAGAAAAATGAGATTGTGTTTACTGCACCAAGAAGAAAGGAGATTAATAATAGGAAGCAACTAGAACGATATTTGAAAGCATACCTTGGTAGTCCATGTTAAACTAAGAAAAAGTTTGGCCAAAAACTCGGTGCTCTTCTCATTCAGATTGCTCACATAAATACATTTAAATTACAAGCTATCACATTGATTTCAACCCAATAAATCAGCTAAACTACTATATATACATTTACAGCTAATTATCTTAAAAAAGTGAATAATTGTTGCAAATAATTGTGCAATCAATCTTATACAATCCTCTTTTTCATTAATTTCATTGACATTCCCCTCAAATTGATGATGGTAAATCTACAAGCATCAATTTGCCAAGTAAAAAATTGTGTTGTTGACATGTCCAGGATTTAGTAAAAATGCTAGCTATTTGAATAAATGTTGAGACATGGTAGATTGATGACTCTTCGATCATAGGCTTCTCGAAAGAGTGACAATCAAGCTCGATGTGTTTTGTCTGTTCATGGTAAATTGGGTTTGCTGCAATCTGTATGGCATCGGTGTTGTCAGCAGGCAATGGAGTTGGTTGTTCTTGAGAGAATCCAAGCTCTGTAAGAAGCACAACCATATAATTTCAGAACAAGCGGCAGACATTGCACAATATTATGCTTTAGTGGATGACTTTGAGACTAAATCTTGTTTCTTACATTTCCATGAAATAAGAGCATTCCCTAGGAACATACACCAGCCAGTAGTAGATTTTCTTGTGTCTGGACATCCAGCCCAATCAACATCACTATATGCTTGGAGTTTCATTCATGAACCAGTAGGAAAAAATAAACCACGCTTTGGGGTGCCAAGGAGGTATCTAATGATTCGTTGTAGTGTTGAAAGATGGAAATATTGTGGAGATTGCATGAACTTACTTACTGTGTGGATAGCAAAAGAAATATCAAGGCGAGTGATAATTACATAGATGAGACTTCCTACTAGCTTGCGATATTGAGTGGGATCATCCAGAAGGTCACCTTCATCTTCTCTATATTTAACATTAACTTCTATGAAAGTGTCAACAAGGGTTGCATTTTAAGTCCAACTAGTTGGACCAAGTCTTGAATATACTTTTGTTAATTTAGAAAAATGCCTTCATGATGATAGTGCACCTCTAAACCC